AAACAAACACCTGCTAACAAGGCTCTTCGGCTGGCTTTCGCCACTGCTTCGGCGCCGCGAGTGCCGCAGTGCACGCAGTTTGGCGTCGATCTCCCCCTGCTCACAAACCCTTTAGGGTTTAGTTTAGGGTTTAGGATTTAGGGGTTTAGGACTTTAAGGTTTAGGGCTTAAGGGTTTTAAACCCCTAAACCCCAAACCCTAAATTACCACCAGGCCAGGGTTTAAGGTTTACGGGTTTAGGGGGTTTCGGGTGCCAGGGTTTAGGTTTCTCAGGTATTAAGGTTTCGGTGGTAGTCACACACGAGGCGCAGCTATGTGGACTCTCCATTATACTTCTTTCTCTCGCATGCGGGGCAAAAAAGCTCGCTCCACACATGCGGGGGTCGAGCATTTGCATAGGTTCTGATTGAACCACTCTGAACTCTACAAAGGAGTAGGTTTTGATAGCTCAATGCAGATGCGAAATCGCGTATCCACAAAGCGCCTGCAAGTGGACTCGAGTGTAGCGTTGGTCGCATGACTTCAGCTCAGTGAACCCCAGAAAGTTGGAACATGGGTTTAGGATGAGTAGTGCTAGGATTCCCTCCCCTTTACCTTCATGAGGATAATGATGTTCCAACTTTGCGGCTTCTGCTCTTAGCTTGCCACATTCGAGGACCCAGGGGCCTTCCCGGAATGTAGCAAACCAAGCCACAGGGGGGGAGGAAACAACCTCGTTTGGGGAATACAATGCACTGGACTGGACATTTGTACAACGGAAGTCCATCGGAAAGTATATGCAAACGCTCCCGCTGACAGACTGTGGGTCGGACGTGGCCCTAAATCCCACAACTGTGAAGATTTGGGCAGGAACCAAGACACTGCAGGACCTGTCAAAAGCTCTTGCACGTCCTACATACCAAAAACTCTTCTGCTTGGTACCTTGTGGTGGCGATTTTGCCTAAGATCTACATGGGTAGATATAACTGGGATTAAAAGCAGGGTACATATACTTATCACCCATACTAGGGGACTTATAACCCCACTTATAACAAGTAGGCTTGCCTCGAGGTGGGAGCACACGCTTCTGATCTCCTGCAGGGATGGCACGGATGAAGCCGACTGAGGTTGAAGAAGTTTACGGTGTAGGGAACAGTTTAGGGTTTAGACGCTTGGGGTTCAATCTTTAGCGCTCGGGTGTCGCGGCTTTGTCCGGATGTTGCAGTCGGCAGTTCGGTGATGCAAACCCGATAAGTACTTGGGCCCAGCACGTTCGGAGAGCGTTTCCGGCAGGAGAATGCAACTAGAGACGGGTTAAGCTGCAATACGATACCGATACTGTACTAGTCTCGAGGGTTCTGTTTTAGATGTCAAGACCATAAAGTTCATAAAGCCTGCGGCCCAACTTTGAACCCCCTGAACTAGCCTTAAAGTTGAGTTTGAATGCCTCGAACCTCACGGATTTGTTTCCCCCCCCAAGACCCTCCCCCCCCCAAGAAAGCTTTAGCAAACACTTGCCAAAGCCTCGGCAAGACATGTGTCACAGTAGCACCTCGGTAAGGCCTCTATCTTGGTTGCGTAACCTTCACAGGAAGCCTCCCACGGCCCTGATTGGAGAACCCGAAACTCCAAACTCCAAAGCCCTCAGCCCTGTATCGCCACAAATCCGCAAAAAATCACTACCTAAAGCCTCCAACCCTGTCACTACCGGACGTTTTTCTGCTCGAGAGTTCGAGGAAAGCCGTTTCAACTACCGTTTCGGGTTCAGGGTTACTTAGAGGATCATGGGACTTAGTAAGTAGGTTATAATTGGGGTTAATTATACCCCTAAGTGGGGTTATCCTAATTATAACCTACTTATAACTTTACTTACTAAGTCCCATGAGCCTTCAAGTAGACCCTAAACCCTAAACCCCATATAGATCCCTTTAAGGAACCCTATAGATCCCTTTAAGGGACTCTACACCACGGGAGTACCACTTGAAGCCAGACTGGGTATGTCAAGGTGTCCTCGACCCTCGAACCCTCGACCCTGAACTTCACATGCTACATACGGTTGATGACATAAATCCTGCATTACCCATAATAAGGAATATACCATAACCTCCATAGTTTAGGGCCCTTAAGGTAATGCAGGATTTATATCATCAACCGTACTACATACTTTCTATAGGGAAGTGAGGGCTTGATAACAGCGGCTTTGATAGCATTCCCTTATGAGACTTATGAGTTAGAGAAACCCTTGAAACAATCCATTGAAGAATACAGTAAGAAGCCCTATTCTACGTATTGAAGCCCCCATGTTCCAACTACCATACCCATAACCGTACCCGGACCAGTCCTGGAACGTTCGCGATGTTCCATCGCTAGGCTTCCGCCCCTGCTTCCTGCCACCCAGCTCCTGCGGCGCATGGGCTCTCTACTGTCTGGTTCTTAGTAAGAGATAGGGGAATGGATTATGGAGACATATTATTGGGGATTATATAGGAACAACTATGGGCATCCATTCCCCCATTCTCTACGAAGCACCAGACAGTCTAGGCTTCCCGTTTAGGGCTTAAGGTGGGTTAGAATGACTCTAGGGTTTCCATCGGACTCTTGAAGCTTTATTGTTCCGCAGAGTCCTTAGACTGTAATTTAGGGTTCCTTAGGACTCTTGAGACTGTAGTGTTCCGTAGGTTCCTTAGACTGTATTTTAGGGCTCCTCAGGGTTCTTGAAGGCCAACCATGTTGCCGTCTTCTCCGCCTGGAAGCTGCCGATGCATTTCAAACCCTAAACCCTTCAGCGTTAAGCTGTGATGGGTCTCTTCCCAGGGCCAGCATTGACAGCAAGATCCCCCTACCGTCGTCATGTAGGTGCCTCAATTACGTGGGGTCGCGAAGGCCTGGGCATCGGAATGCCTTTTGTCTCTTTCCCTTTCTTGCCGCTCCTGCGACATTACGCGCCTGAAGGACTTGCGCGTCTCTGTGCCTGCTGTGAAGCTGTCACGTACTAATGGAGGATACCTCTGCCCGCAGTGGGTGGTTCGCGAGGGCCACTTTGTCTTGCCAGGTCAGCGGCTCGTTGCAGCCGAGGTGCAGCTTCAACTGCATCGATGTTCGCCCGATTCGCTGATTAGGGTTATATAGTGTTTCGAACTTAGGGGTTATGCAAGGTGCAGGGGCTCACGGGGTGTCGGGGATCGAGGGTTCTTCTTGGCAGTAAGGTGCACATGGCGCCAGGACGAACAGGAGCTTGGGATGACGAGGTAAAACCTGAAGGCCGAAAACAGCCGATGACCTACTAAACTCTAGACCCGGAACAAAAGCCCTAAGCCCAAACTCTGAGTTTTCAAAGTTTTCAACCCTCAGAGGCCTGCATGATTAAACGATCACATACCCCAAAACCCAAGTCTATTGATTAAGGCACCTAAACCCTAAAACCTCATCCCTAAACCCTAAATGCCAACCCCTATGTAAACCCTAAACATCCTAAACCCTAAACATCCTAAACCCTAAACTCTAAGCATCCTAAACCCTAAACATCCTAAATCCTAAACCCTAAACATCCTAAACCCTATAAACCCTAAGCATGCAAAGCGCCGCTGCACCCGATCTCGCCTTCTGCCCCCACGTTTCAGGGGCCGGCAACCGGGCGGCCATGGTCAAAAGCGCCGTTTGGGTTTTTAGGGTTTAGGGGTTTAGGGCCTATGGTGGCTTATGGTTGAGGGTTTAGGGTTTTGGGGTTCAGGGTTTAGGCTGTAAGGTTTAGAGTTTAGTTCTAGGTTTCGGTGTTTGAGCTGCAGGATTTGTTGATCTTGGGCTTTGGCAATTTGTGGGGATTTGAGGTTGAGACTGTCGGGTGCTGTGGGTGTTGGGCTCGAGAGCCTTGGTGGGTTTGGCGGTTTAGTAGGATTCTGGTCGGCTTTGTTGGGTTTTGGCTTTTGGTCTAAATCTTGCGAGTCAAGGTTCGAGGTCCCACTAGCTCTTCTTTGGCAAAGTGCATTCAAGATTGCTGTGAATGGACCCAGAACTAAGCCCTCTAAGGCGTAAGCCGTAAGCCCTAACTGTTATGCCTAGCCTGCATATATACCATAAACTTCTAGACTCTTTGTCCCATGGCAGCTGTGAGGAAGTTTGGGGGTCTGTTGCTCGAAGGTTTTGTAATGGCTTAAGGTTCAAAGCTTTAGAATATGGGTTTGAAGGACTAAGGTTGAGGGTTTCGGGCTCCGGGTGGGCCTTTTGACGGCCGGGCGGGTTAGGGGCAAGGGCTGAGAGGTTCGCAGGCTTGGAGGTTTGGGTTTTGGGGATCCGCTTTTGCGGATCCCTCTGATCTGATCCTACTACTTCGGGCCGAGATGGATGGCCTGCTCTCTTGAAGCTTGTAGCTCTGTAGGGTGACTTTAAGGGACATAAGCAGGGCGCTACTAAAGGGGGATCCTCCAGGCCTTTAGTCTTGAGGGGCTGGGGGCTTAGGCTTCAGGTTTCAGGGCGTACAAATACAGGCTTCGGGTGTAGGCTTTCACTAGCACATGCAGCCGCAGCAGGACAACGAGGCGTCCTGAAGCAACTGAAGACATGTCACGACTTTCATCTCCCCGGCAACCGAGTCCGGAACGATAGAAGTGGGGGCTTTTCTGTCTGTGCAGGCACTGCTTGCTTCCAGCTACGTAACTCGAGCTGCGCGCATCGAGCTTAGGAAGTAGAAGGTGTAGTGCCTAAGTGCATTCTAATATTTAATATACTATACTTTACTGTTCTGTGCCATAAATGTACTATAACCTACTATACTCTACTCTACTCTACTAATCTTAAGTGCTTGGGATTCAGCCGGAAGCCCTGAACCCTAAACCCCCTGAACCCCTAAACCCCTACACCTCTAAACCCCCAAACTCCGAAACCCCTAAACTCCTAAACTCCTAAACCCCCACAACTCCTAAACCCCTAAACTCCTAAACCCCCAAACTCCGAAACCCCTAAACCCCTACACCCCTAAACCCCTCCAAAAACTCCGAAACCGCTGAACCGAGCCGTTCCGGTGCCTGCGGCGAGGACCCCAGAGGCCGTGACCAACTTCAAGGCTCGCCGGGGCCTAGCTCAAATCTTGAAAAAGGAATGGTGGTTTCCGAGTATTAGGGGTACCTTACTTGGGGTCCTTATAATAAGGAGCCTACTAAAGGGTACCATATTAGGGTCCCCTATTAGCGAATTTTCGGAAACTCCCTGATTTTTGGGGGCTTAGGATGCCACGAAACGTTCTCTCCGCTTTAGGCTTGTGGGTCTAGGGGTCCTGAATACGGGGATCTGGGTTTGGGGGCCCCCCTCCAGGTGCCAAATGCTAACCAAAAGCTGCACATATACTCACCCAGACTCCTACGAGGTTCACGTACTAAGCATCATATACTTCCCACCATCCTGCTCCATAGTAGTTATCCGAAACCCTAAACCCTAAACCCTAAACCGAATCGCCCCTAAACCCTAAACCCTAAACCGAATCGCCCCTAAACCCTAAACCCTAAACCGAATCGCCCCTAAACCCTAAACCCTAAACCGAATCGCCCCTAAACCCTATATCCTAAACCCAAGTACCTACCCGTGCAGTCCCCTGGTCTGCTAGAGGAACATGGTCCCAACAACGAAGACTTAGAGGCTCATGAGTTAGAGTGGGTTGGGAGGTTGGGGGTGGGTTGGGAGGAGGTTGGGAGTGTGTTGGGAGGAGGTTGGGAGTGGGTTGGGAGGAGGCTATAGGTGGAGTTATAAGTCCCCTAATCTGGGTATGGGTGATAAGTATAGCTAGCCTACTCATATCCCCACTTATAACTACCCTCAACCCTAAACCCTGATCCCTAAACCCTATAACCCTGTAGATCCCTTTAAAGGAACCCCACTTATAAGTATAGCTACCCCGCTTAGAACCCCAGCCATGAGCCTCCAAGTACATCCGTTTCAGGATGCCAGGTTCGACTCAAAACATCTGAGAAGCCCAAGGAGTCTCGCCGATGGACGTCTTGGTTTAGGGTTCGGGTTTAGGGATACACTGCTGTGCCATTTGGGTAGTTCTCTAAACTAGAGTTTGTTTTGGGGTCCTTTTTATAAGAGTGCCGTACTAGAGTGGGGACTTAAAATGGGACCCTAATTTAGAGAACTACCCACTTAGAGAGGATATCTAAGCACCTCTGCTGTGGCCATAGTAGCCGTGCAGCAGCAGCAGCCCGAAGGTCGTCTACTCGAAGAGAAGCCCCAAACATCGAACTAATCCCCAGAATCCCAAATCCTGCACCCGCAAGCCCCGATCCTTCTGGCCTGTTGGAGGGTCACAGGAACTTACGTTGCACTCGTCCTTCTTCTCAGGCGATTTCCAGCCTCCTTACAACACTTGATGTGGTCCAACCGGCACAAGTACATCCACGAAGTGGAACAGTTCTTGCAAGTGACACTTACTTGGCTCAGCGGTGAAGGCATCAATGCCTGAACGAACCAGGGAATAGCTCCATTGGAGTCGTTCAGGAGGAGCTGCTCTCCATTGGACCCTTCCGCGCCCGGCTCATGATTCGAAGGCGGCGCAGGGAACTCAAACTTCTTGCTCGAGTCGGAAGGTGCACCATCACTGCGTTTCAAGCTCAACTTGCTGGCAACGGCAACACACTCACTTCCAAAGGCACTCTTGGAGAAAACCCAGCCACAGTTGGAGACCCACTTCGCCCATGAAGCAAACCCTCAATCCTGCATCCAGACCCCGTACCCTCAACATCATCGGCGCGAAACCCTCAACCCTAAACCGTGGCTCTGTTCCACCCAAATCCCTGAACTCGACTCCCAAAACTCCCTAAGCCCAAACCCTATCCCAACAAAAATCGAACCGACAACTTGGAACCACCAACCCCGGAGCCCGAAAACAGCACACACCCCGACACCATAAGGCAAAAAAGCATACACCCCACGACTTCAAAGAGCAGACCCTAAACCCTAAAAGCCTAAACCCTAAAAGCCTGACCCTACATCCTACCACAAGATCCGATCTTCAGAATATCGGGAACCCCCAAAACATGGGCTCTAATGGGTACGTAGATCTCTTCAATCAGTATTTAGGGTTCTTTAAAAGGATCTGTAAGGGTTTCTGTGAGGCTATACGGGTACTGTAAGGGTAGTTCTCTAAATGAGGGTCCCCTTTAGGGTCCTCTTTATGAGGTTGCTGTAGTACTTTGGGGACCTAAAACAAAGGGACCCTCATGTGGGGAACTACCCTTAGGCCCTAGCAACTCTAGTATAGACCCGGGTGCGTAGCAGGATCCTTATGACAACTTCGCTAAAACCACGCATCCCTTCTGGTTTTTCTTGGCGGAACCTTCAACAACCCTGCAAAGCCTTTGAAACAACAGGAATGAACTCATACGGAAGCCGCAAAGGGGACGCTCTATAAGTGACCCAGATAAACTCTGTGGCCCAAAACCCAAGGAAATAAAACTTGAAGCTTTCAGAATCGACTACCTTATAAGACCCAAAAAACTGAAAAGTTGAGTTTACAGCCTATAAGTAAAAGAGGTGCCCAGCAGGGCCTGGGTCTGCTGTGCCAAGAGCGAGACGGGCGACCTCCATGCCGACAACAAACCCTAAACCCTAGGGTTTAGGGTTTAGGGGTTTAGGGGTTTAGGGTTTAGGGGGTTTAAACCCTACACCGTGCTGAAAGGCTCGTTGAAAGGCTTTGTTTTGGTCCTGCAAGGGTCTTACGGTCTCCAGGCTTTTTATTGTCATATGGCCGCATGTATACTTATATACATATTTAAATACATATACAATTACATTTGTAGAGGTTTTATATTTTTTTTACGTGCAGACGAAAAAGTCTGAGCACAGAAGCCTAGCCAATGAAGTGGAATCAAGACATAGAATCGTGTATCTTATATATACATATATATATATATATATATATATACACATATACTTGTGTATGCATGCAAGCATGCATAGATACACAACAGGAAGGATGGCTGGCTGGCTGGCTGGATGGGTGGCTGGATGGAGGGATGGATGGATGGGTGGATGTGTATATGTGTATACAGGTAGTTAGATCTTTAGACGGAATTTTGGCGTTACACACAATTACGTAAGGATTGCATGGCTTTTTGAGGCAGCGTTCTACAGGCGTTTGGCCTACGAAATTTAACCGTACTTTGACTACCCATGAACCTTCCGGTACGGCTTCGTGTTCGGAGGGGCTTGGGTTACGTGATGTAGGTAGAAATCATATTCCTGAATTGCGTAAAGCTTATGGTGTGGGGCTCAACAGGTTTTTAGTTTGGGCTTGGGGTTGAGGGGTTAGAGTTTAAGGCAATAGCTCGACCCTCGGCATTTGGGGCTTCTAAGAATCACCTTTGCAGGGCCTCATGATGAAGCAGGACATGTGTAAAAAGCTCAGGGGTATTCGGTCAAACGATGTGACATAAACACAACTCTTGGGGGCTGTGTTTTCCGATAGCGCGTTTCACAACTGCCAATGACCTGCAAATGAAGGTTGGGGATGCCCTACGGTTGATGATATAAATCCTGCATTACTCATAAAAAGAGATATACCGTTATTCTCATCGTTTAGGGTCCTTAGGGTAATGCAGGATTTATCTCATCAACCGTAGCAGGGGAGCCCTCAACCGTCTTCAGGCTATTCCAGGAGGCCTGCATACTTGGAGGCTCATGGGAAATTATGGGAGGCGTTATAAGTCCCTTCTTTTGCTATGGTCCTGCATCCATGGCTACCCTACCTATAATACTTAGTATATAACTTAGCATAACATCATATAACTACCCATGAACCTCCAAGAAGGCCTTGCCGGACAAGCCCTTAGTCTGTTCTTTCTGGTGAACTGCCTGAATTCATCTCTGCTCGTTTAGGAACAGGATACTCCGCAACTCGCCATTTCTTGTCCCAAACAGCCCTGTTGCAGCCCCGTGCAGGTTGGATTGAATTAGTAACTGCTAGTTATTGACTACTGTGAACCATGATTGGTCGCTATTGATTGTTATACATTGCTACCAGTAGAAACAATACAAACCTCAGCTCTTGGTAGAAGCGGCAACTCGCCTTGCCGTTGTAGAACCGGCATACAAACTTAGCAGACAGCCCTACAACCACCCCAGAGCCTAAACCCCAAACCTTAATCACTGAACCCTAATCCCTCACCCCTCAATCGTAAACCCTAATCCCTAAACCCTCATCGTCCCTTATCCCTAAACCCCGAGCCCGAAGCCGTAAAGCAGACACAGCACAGGCCTTGGCTCGCCTCCATCGCTTGAAGCTCTGAACACTCGGGGCTTTCTTATCCGGAAATTCCAACACCAGGATTCTTGGCCTCTCTTCCCAGGCTGTCTGAAAGGGCTGGATGGGAAGGTATGGAGTTCAAAAGCCATGAAGTAAGACTCTCCTACTCAGGAAGTCGGCTCAGCTTAGCCAACAATAGTTAAAGACAACCTGTAACGTTCTACGAACACATACATGTTTGCTTGCCGTAGTATACACATTCGAGACTGAAGGGATCCCCCCGTTTCTGATGCTCGAGCTACGCTGTCCGAACCCGAAGCTGTTCGATCACCTCGTCCACGGAAGGAAACTGCTGCGGGCTCGCACGCATCAGCACCTGGAGATTTCATGGTATGGACACCCTGCTGGGGTTTGAAGTCTTATCTTGTATATCATCACGGCCCCGTGAAGGAACAGCACCCCCCCCCCCCAAAAAAAAAAAATAAGAAAACAAAAACAAATATATATATATATATATATATATACACATATACATATACATATATGTATATATACCTATATATATATATATGGAAGTATGGCACCCCAGAGCAGCCTACGCTATCATCTCCAAACACCACTGCCAGATCGCTGAACCCTGCCATCCCAAAAAGTCCTGCACAGAGCCCCTGATCCTTGTAAAGGGCAGGGTTTAGGGTTTAGGGGGTTTAGGGTTCAGGGGGTTTAGGGTTTATCGTTTAGGGGGTTTAGGGGGTTTAGGGTTTAGGGGGTTTAGGGTTTATCGTTTAGGGGGTTTAGGGGGTTTAGGGCTTAGGGGGTTTCGGGTTTAGGGTTTAGGGCTTTTCTCGAAAATGTGGGGTGGCGAAGTTCTGCAAATGCTAGGGTAGCATGCTCCTATCTCCCATCCGGTATATTGGGGCTTAGGCTTCAGGCCTTATAGAAACCCTCACAAAACCTTATGAAACCAACATCCTTTTTGTTCTAAAAGATAAAACTGTGTTCAGCACCGCTCCGATGGAAATCCTCCTACCCCCGGCACCATACCCTACGGCCCTGTAGCCGAAACTCTCAACGCTAAGCCTAAACATCGGAGACTGTTGGGAGAGATACCCATGGATTTTCGGATAGTTTAAGGACGATGTTTGCAGGTTTTATGTGTCTTTGACAGGATCCTCCAAAATACATTGTCGATATCAACAGTCCCCAGAGCTGTTTATAATAAAGGCTCTATATTACACAGTAAGGGAAACTAACAGTTATCTCAAATCGATACCTGCGAGTTTTGCACTTCAGGGCTTAGGTTTAGGGGTTTAGGGTTCAAGGTTTAGGGCTTAGGGCTTAGGGTTTAGGGCATAAGTACCAGAGACTTCCATCGCCTGTCCTATTCACCACGTCTGCAGCTACTGGGTGCTGGAGACTGTGAAGCCAGGACTACATTCCCCAAAAAACGAACCAGAAACGCCTTACGACAAACCTCTGGAACCCTGAACCCCTGAACCCTAAACCCTTACACCCTAAAACCCTTAAACCCTAAAGCCCTAAACTCCTAAACCCTTAACCTTTGATCTCAAAGCCCTAAACCTTAAACCCCAAACCCCTAAACCTTTGATCTCAAAACCTTAAACCCTAAAACCTTAAACACCCAACCCCTAAACCTTTGATCTCAAAACCTTAAACCCTAAAACCTTAAACACCCAACCCCTAAACCTTTGATCTCAAAACCTTGGACCCTAAAAACCTTAAACCCCCAACCCCTAAACCGTTGATCTCAAAACCTTAAACCCTAAAATCTTAAACCCCCAACCCCTAAACCTTTGATCTCAAAACCTTAAACCCTAAAACCTTAAACCCCAACCCCTAAACCTTTGATTGCAAAACCCTAAACCCTAAAACCTTAAACCCCCAACCCCTAAAGCTTTGATCTCAAAACCTGGGACATGAGCCCACAGATCGCAAAAGACTTAAGCGTCATCCCTGCTCTGAGATTGCGGGGATGGTATACATAGCTCCTTTAACTGGGTTGCTATGAGGGCGCTTAAAGGGTTCCCTTAAAGGGATACTATAGAGGTTTAGAGTTTCCGAAAAATGGGGGGTACCTCATTTTGGGGTCCTTATAATAAGGATCCCACTATCTAGGGCGCTATATTACGGTTTAGGGTTTAGGGTTCAGGGTTTTGGGTTTAGGGTGCTATACTACGGTCCACTATTTTCGGAAACCCCCACATGCCTACTTCACCAGCGCGTACTTTCATGTGGGCCCTGAAGGGCGACTAGAACTTGGAAAAAAGACCGCCTGGATCCTCTTCGGTAGTTCCGGTTGATGATATAAATCCTGCATGACCTTAAGAACCCTAAACTATGGGAACTATGGTATATTCCTTATTATGGGTAATGCGGGATTTATATCATCAACCGTCCTGGGTAGAAAACTAGTCTACACTGCAGGAAAATTGCAACACCCCACAAGAAGAAATGCCTTGGAGGGTACTAGACCTAAGAGTAACCTAGGAATAAAAAGGGTGCCCTTTTTGGTTTAAATGGGTTATAAGGGAACCTAAACCCTAAAAAAAGGGAAGAAGGCCCTCTCTGGGTCCTAGGGTATTTTTAACCCAAATCTCCAAAACCTCCACGAGATCTCCTAAACATTTACTCATAGGGATCCTTAGGGGTGTAGGGGGGAGGGGTGTAGGGGACTATATTTCCTTAAATAGGCCTTATGAGTCCTTATTATGGGCCTTAAGGCCCCCTACCCCCCCTCCCCCTACACCCCTAAGGATCCCTATGATTTACTGCAAACCCCTAATTCCTAAACAACCTCTCAACCCCAAACCCAAAAGCCTCCATCTGAAGTCCGGACCCCTCCACCCTTAAACCGCTATCCTAACGTGGAACCTGATTCAGGAACCTTGGGCCTGTATTAGGGTTCCTCATATGAATCCTAATATTTTGGGGTTATAGGCGGTTATAGGCCCAGGGTTTCTTAATCAGGTTCCTACATTATTACAGTACCCTTATAGATCCCTTATAGTAACCCTTATAGACCCCTTTAAAGGCAGGCTCCATGCTCTAGGTGGCTCCGATCGGATCGCGACGGCTTTCACTGCCGTCAGAGCTGAGTTGCTCTGCAGAGAGGCCTTTGCACTCCCAAAAACCCTGAATGAAGCAGTATTAGCGTTTAGGGCTTCTGAGACTAGACAGGGATCCGTGATATGATGGAAGACATGTCCGTTGGCTAGTTAAGCCGAATACGTGAGATTTAAAAGGGATTCCTAGTATGATGTTAGATGTAGTCCGTAGCTAAGTAAGCTAAACGCCTTAAGCTTTTTCGGGGTCCTGAGAATCTCTTACATTGGGAAATATGTTCTTTCAGGGGGTTTGGGAGTCTCTGTCTCTGCCGGAAGAATTCAAGTAGCTCTGCTGAGCTGTGTCAAGCCAACGAGGCCCTCTGCTTAGGATCTGAAGGCCGGTTTAGGATGAGGGCTCAGGGTTTGGAAGCTTTAGGGTTTAGGATGCATAGGATTTGGACATAGTGTTCAGGGTGGTTAGTACACCGCAAAGAACTAAACCCTAAACCCTAAAGGCCTAAACCCTGAACCTTACACCCTGAGACACCTGAAATCCGGAGCGGTTCTGCCTAACTGAACCCCTTAGTCGACACAGCACAGAGCACAGAGCTAACTTGAGCCTGCAGCCTTCAAAAGGTGCTGCAAGATTGAAGGAAACTCCGGCTGACTCATAAAGTGCCTATAGGCCCTTCTCTGGAAAACTGCTTGAAGGTAAAGTCCTATAGTGCGAACATGGGCTGTTCACTAAACCAGGGTCCCTAGAAAGGGGCCCCTAAACCCTAAACCCCTAAACCAAATAAGGCAACCCAAAGGCATGAGGTCCATTGAAGGGTCTACGTGGAACTCGCCGGTCCCATTGATGCAGACAGAACTTTAGGTCTAGTTAAGGGCTTAGGATTTAGGGCTTAGGTGTTGGTGGGTTTGGGGTTCAAGGTTTGGGGCGTGGGGTTTCGGCCTTGAGGTTAAGGGTTTAGTGTTTGTGGTCTTTTCTCTCTGCTCGACAGCTTGCAACTTTCAGCTGACTGAGCAAAGTCTAGGAAAACTTGAACGTGGACGATGCTGACAGGATGGCATTGCTGAGGCTGAACGGAGGGTTTATGCAAACCCTAGAGCCCTAGAAGAAATAGTTGTGAAAATCAATAACCCCTATACCCTTATAATAATGACACCCCCTCGTATGCTAGGAATTGGAATCCAGATCAGTAAGAAGACCGGACCACCATGTAAGCATGTGCGCAAGAATCTGTATAAGTTGTAGACACGATGAGCGTGCACAGTGTGGGGGCAGATTTGTTTCATCGGTGGATACGGATCATGTTCACGGTCATCACTTCTAGAACTTCAGAGACGCACGGTGCGTCATACCCCTGCAAATTGCGGCACTGACGATTGGAGAACACGTTTGCAGGTGTACGGGTTGAAATTCATACGCAGGGCTAGGGAATTTAACTTAAGGTATGCAAATGCTCACAGCTCTACTGTACTTACCCCAATTTTGATTCAGCTCCAGCTACGAGTGCTCTCCTGCCAGGTCATCCGATACTTCTGTCCTGGAATGTGGAATTCAAACCGCGACCGCAGCACGCCCCGACATGTTGGAAAATACCCCAAGTGGGCCCATGCCGCAGGAGCTGAGTTGGGCAAGAGGAGCTAGGCAAAACATGCACCCGCAGGGACTACCTGGACCTTAGAGGCCTAAACCCTGGTCCAGGTAGTGGCAAACAACTATCGCACTTTTCGGCGAGACAAGAGAACATCACATCCTCACCACTGGATAGCAAATCGGGGGCTCTTAAAAAGTCTGGCCCCGCTTCGCCGTCATCGCATACTCCATACTTGGGAGTAGCAAAGGGGGTCGAAGCTTACGGTGTGTAGCAACTCCCCCTTGGGAGCTTCCGTGCACCATAAACACAGATGGCATGAGCCCTGCAAACATGGTTGATTTGGATGTCGTAGTGGCGCTAGCATACTGCCGACTACATTTGTGGGCACAAACATGCAGGCTTACCCTCCTCCTCCAGCTTCTCCAGCTCGTTGAGCATTGCCTCGCTAGAGAGACCGATCCGGGATGCGGGCAAAGCCCGGTCAGCTTATAACACTCTAACCTAAACCCCCAAAAATCCCAAACCCTAAACCCTAAACTCCCAACCCTAAACCCTTTAGGGTAAAGGGCTTAGTGCTTAGGGTTGGGGAGCTCCTCGGATCGAAGGTCTAGTAGCACCCCGACAAAGCATCTACGCTCGTTATTACGGGGTTTGGCGTTGAGGGTTCAGGGTCCTTATTAGGGTTTAGGGTTTACTTGAAGGCTCATGGGACTTAGTAAGTAAGGTTATAAGTAGGTTATAACTAGGATAACAACACTTAGGGGACTTATAATCCCAATTATAAACTACTTATTAAGTCCCATGATCCTCTAAGTAGGGTTTAGGGCTTAGGGGGATTATTATGTGGAATTTTGGGCTGAGACATGTTGGCTACTGGTTTCGGATGGGTTAGGAGATCGTATAATTGAAAACATACGATGGCACGCCATTATCTGTCTTCCATTGAGGCTTCCTTGAAAGGGATCTATAATCTATAAGTGCTCCATGATGAGGGTTAAGGGAAATCATATGGGGCCTGAATACGGTTTCGTAAAATCATAAGAAATAATGTAGGTAATTATTCAAGCGTCCATATAGAATCATACCGAAAACCGGCACTCGTGGAAACCTATCGCTAGGACCCTAGGAAAGGCATCATGTGCGTCAGCACCTAAAGCTGTCTCTCCCACATAGCCCTGCGACCCGGAACCCTTGAAGAGGGGCACCAAACTGAACGCACAAGTACAAGGATCTAGCTAATATACGGGGCTCAGGTTTTTAGAATGGGGTTTTGGTGCCCAATTCTAGATTCTAGATATAAGGAACCACCAAAATGATAATCGTAATGATTTAGGCACGTATGCCCCTTGTTGGAGGCCCTTCGGGCTTCAATCCCAAAGAGGATCCCAAGCTGCAGAAGCAGAGTCCGATGCTGGTGCGAAAACCTTTTTAGAAACGCGAGCCACGGAAATGACCTGCGGAAAGACAAAAGCCCTAAGCCGCACAAGAATCTGAACCCTGAATCCCTGCAAATCGCAGAAATCCAAAAACTCTAAACCCACGAGTCAAAGCTCAAAGCCCGTGTTGTTAGAGGCCTGGGCAGAGGGGCGCGATGTTTGCTCGATGTGCCACGATGCCTCGCGTAGGCGGAGGTACATCGTTAATGATGTAGAGCTGGTGGGGGCTTGATGTCTTGGGCCCTAGACCCTAAACCTAAACCCTAAACCTCTCAGCACTACACCCGGAAACTTGAAACCTTTCGCCTTGAGCCCTAAAGTATACCTGAAAGGATTCTCCATGGGAGAGCTCAGGCTCTCTTTTGGGACCTTAAGAGGCTTTGAGGGCCTAGGTCCCTAGGTTTCAAGAAAGGTTTAAGGCTTTACCCAAAGGGTCCTAGGTACCGTTATGGGGGCCATACTTCCCTAAGTTTTAATGGTATTTCCTAATATAGAAACCAACCCTAAACCCTAAACCCTAAACCCTAAACCCTAAACCCTAAACCCTAAACCCTACCATTCTATTATGTCGGGAGTCGGTACATAGGACCGTTTGGGTTAAGGGTTTGGGACTTCAGGCTTCGACTCTACCTAGAGGCGCATACCCTACCCCCTTTTTTGGGGGGTATCTACTTTTCTATATAGCAGATCCTAACCATGAAGCTAGGTATCCTAAAGCCGGGGTAGGGTACCAGCCTCTTCTTGAAGGCTCATGGGACTTAGTAAGTAAGGTTATAAGTAGGTGATGATTAGGAGAACCCCACTTAGGGGACTCATACCCCCAAGTATAACCTACTTACTAAGTCCCATGATCCTCTAAGTAGACCCTAAACCCTAAACCCTATAGATCCCTTTAAGGAACCCTATAGATCCCTTTAAGGAGCCCTTAGTTACTAAGTCCCATGCTCTTATAAGTAGGTAAGATTTCATGTTCCGAGGGTTTTAGGCTCCGAGCTTCAGGTCGCTGGCTTAAAGCTTCAGACAGAGACCCGGCCCTTAGGATTTAGCTTAGAGTTTAAGTTCATCTTGAAGATTTAGGATTTGAGGGTTTAGAGTTTAGGTTTAGAGTTTGGGCATTTTTGAAAGTTTAAAATGTAGAGTTTAGAGTTTGAAAAGTTTTGGGGAGATTGTACCCCAAGTAATTACCCATTGTAAGGGCTCAAATAGCCCTGTATATGTTTTCCATTCATTTTGATGTTAATACTTAAATCCATATCTATATGTATGGGAATGTCCGAAATTAGGGGACCCAAATCTAGTACCCTAAAGAGTAGGATCCTTATTACAAGGACCCCAAGTGAAGGTACCCCTAATCTTCGGAAACTCGAAGCCTCCATGGAGCTCTTTAAAAGAACCCCTATAGTACCCGTATATTAAGCCTGTAAATCAAGGAGGGACCCTTAATCAGGACCCCCAGGTATATACTCTTAATATAGCTAGTATATACCCATTCTAGGGTAGGTGTCCCCATTAAGGGTCCCTCCTTTTCCCCTGTGATTTAAGGAACCCTAAGATTTATACTTGTATTGAACCGGTGTTTTTTAAGGGACCGGCCTCGACGAGCCGCCGGAGTTTCGGCTGACACTCGGCGATGCAAGGTCTCGGCTCCTTTCCTGCGAGGAAGTCCTGCGAATGACTCAGGGGCCTTAAGGTTTCAATGCCTTCTACTAAATGAAATGAATGCAAGTTCAAAAATACTACAATGAAAATACTGTATAAGAACCCACTGTTTAAGAACCTGAGCCCCTACCCGGGCGGAATTCAACAGATTCCTGTTGCTTCAATATTAAGAACCTTAGGGTACCCTAGTTTTTTGGGTCAGGTTCTTAATTATTTGGGTGCTTTCCCTCACCAAGGAAATTTAGAATCGAAAACTAAATTTCCCAACCCTCCACATGAAGAAACCCTCTGCCCGAACATAATGAACGTATGATGGCTTGATGGCGACAGGAATGCCACAGCGCAGTGGTTGCGCATAGGTTCTGGAGACACAGGGGTTCGGGCTTAGGGCCGGGGTTTAGGGTGAGGGTTAGGGTCTGGGTCGATTTCGGGTTTGGTTTTGGGGGTTTTTGAGCTTAAGGTTTAGGTTTCAATGCGAGAAAATTGGGGATCAGGGTCCCTTTAAGGGAGCTAATAAGGTTTTATAGGGTTCAGTTTTCGCGACCTAGAGTTTGACAAGGTTCCTTTGAAGGACCGCGCAGAGCGTGATAGGGGCCCTTAACAAAATCATTGGAGCTAATTGAAATAGAATATGCCGTGATCATACTTGGAGGATCATGGGACTTAGTAAGTAGGTTATGATTGGGGTTACAAGTCCCCCAAGTGGGGTTGTCCTAATTTTAACCTACTTATAACCTTACTTACTAAGTCCCATGAGCCTTCAAGTAGCCAGGAGCCGCTGGAGCTGGAATAGTATTGGGTACTAAATGGGGGGTTCCGAAAACAGGGGACCCTAATATAGTACCCTAAATGATAGGATCCTTATTATAAGGACCCCCAAATAAGGTACCCCTACTTTTCGGAAACTCCCAAATGGCTTTCTATACCAACTAGGGCTTACATTCCTTGCAGGACCTCAGCTGATACCTAAAGATAAGTCTTGCCGACTATGTATAACGGTTTTTTAGCAACGGTTTCCGGACGGCACTTCAGGGTGTAGGGTCAAGGGTAGTTCTTCAGGGTTAAGGGTCGGTTTTGAAAATCATAATAAAGGGTCGAGGGTTCAGGGTAGTGTGTGGTTTGGAACTATGCGGTTTAGGTTGCACTGGACAGGGTGCGCGCTGGTAAGCCTGCTGTAGCCTTCATACCACAACTTGCCAGAGACTAAGCCTTCGAGCCGATCCTTTAGGATGACGTCCGGATCAGCGCTCATGTGGTGGAAAGGCTGACGACCGGAGCTCAAGAAATACAGGATGAGGGCCTCAGTCTGCCAGGCTGTACGGGTGGGTAGTGGGTTTAAGCTAGGTCCTCTAGGCAACCCTTAATAATGAGGGCTCCTATTCCTACTGCTCAATGTTAACAAGGAGACACACAAAGTGTAGAAAAGCGGCACGGCGCAACCCTGTAGCAACCTTGTAAAACGCCATAGGACACCATCATAAACCTCAACCCAACCACCAAAAAGCGTTGTTTAGGGTACTAGGAGCAAAGGCGTAGATGTCGGCTTTTTCGCAGTACTGCTCCTGGCGCACGACCTCATGTGTCTGGAAGCTCGAGCTTTGAGGGGTTTTGGAGTTCAGGGCTTTGTGCCTAGGGTTCAAGGCTTCTTTTCGATTTAGGGTTTAGGGTTTAGGGTTTGGGGGTTAGGGTCTCGGCCGGGAGCAAAGATGCGCCAAAAACATCATGTTGCACTCGCCCAAACCACCCAAGTTCTACTGACGCATGGGCTCCCGCTGTACCCCTAAGCCCAGCAGCTTCGAACCCCTAAATCCCCGAGGAATTGTTTGTATGAATCTACCAAAAGAACCGCAGAATCACGATATAAAACAAAACAGCGATGAAATCGTGACGAAAGCCCTAAACTCCAAACCCTAAATTTAAACTCCAGCAGACTCGAACCCCTGTAGAACAACCCTAAACCATCATGAAACCTTACAGCAAAACCCTTGCGGAGCCTTTGGCCCACGGCTTCAAACTACAGAGTTTAGCCTTTGGGGTCCGGGGGTTTAGAGGTTAAGCTGATTTAGCGCTTCAGTGGTCTGGGGCTTAAGCGTTTGAGGTCTCAAGGGCTTAAGGGCCTAAGGCTTTACGGGTTCAGGGCTGAAGGGTTCAAACCCTAAACCCTAAACCCTAAATCCTAAACCCTAAACCCTAAACCCTCAACCCTAAACCCTAAACCGTTCAAGGTTCGGGGTTGAAAGGGTGTAGGGCTGAAGAACTGAAGGGTTTCAGGGTCAGGCAAGGTCCTAAGTATACTTTGCATCACATGCTCCTTTGATTATTAGTTGAAGGCTCATGGGACTTAGTAAGTAAGGTTATAAGTAGGTTATAATTAGGATAACCCTACTTAGGGGACTTATAACCCCAATTATAACCTACTTACTAAGTCCCATGATCCTCTAAGTATGGCTTGTTGGAATCGGTGGACGTCCTCTCCCCTCAACAAAATACCTTTGCAAGCCCCAGTCTCCTATACGACAAACTCTAACAACCAAAGAGCTAAACCCATGAAGCACCAAGAAACGCCAATATCCGTCCCCAATTTAGTGGCTGAGTACCCTGGCCCAAAGAAGCTTAACCTTTTCAATTATGGTAGGATCATATAAACCCCAACAGCCCAAAAGGTTACCCACTCAGATACTTAGAGGATCATGGGACTTAGTAAGTAGGTGATAAGTGGGGCTATAAGTCCCCTAAGTGGGGTTATCCTAATTATAACCTACTTATAACCTTACTGACTAAGTCCCATGAGCCTTCAAAGACTAAGCCAAATCCGCCTTCAAAAACCCGGCCTCCGGAGCCATGTAGCGCAGGGTCCCAACGCCCCCGGTCATGGTGTAGCCGTCGCGGGCAGACGCCGCTTCCAGGACCCGGCTAATGCCAAGATCGGCCACCTGAAAAGGGTAGGATGACGGCCCAGAGCCTCCAAAACCCCTTAATTAAGGAATATACCTTAAATCATATTAGGGCTCCTATTGTAATTTAAGGTATATTCCTTAATTAAGGGGTTTTGGAGTCTCTGGGGGGGGAGCAGGAGAACTTTTTAGGGGTGAGGACTTAGGATTCAGGGTGTAGGGTCTAGGATTGAGCCGTTAGGGCTTGGAGTTGAGGGCGTACTTAGAGGATCATGGGACTTAGTAAGTAGGTTATAATTGGGGTTATAAGTCCCCTAAGTGGGGTTATTCTAATTATAACCTACTTATAACCTTACTTGCTAAGTCCCATGACCCTTCAAGTAGGAGAGGTGATACAGGGGCTCTAATAGTGGGTAGCAACAGCAGCATCATAATCACCGTCGAACATCAACGAGGTTCTCGTCGCCTTGGTCACAATCCTCCCATTCTGCTGCTACAAACTGAACTCACTAAATCCAACTCAGGCACTGGGGCTCAACATTTTCATCTTCGAGTTTAGGGGTTTAGGGAGCCCCGTACATCAACCTCAAAATCCCAAAATCCACCACACTACTCCAACTACGAGCAAGCTGCCCCAAACCCTATGTTAAAGGGTGAAAAGAATCTTAGCTCCCTCACCCTTGTCCTTTCAGACAAAATTGATAGAGCCCTATACCTATATCCCTTAATAGGAATGATTTAAGAAGGTCTACTAGCCGGTCTGTTTATGCTTTTGGGGGAACCATGAAAAAGGACAAGGCTGGCCTTCACATCCAGGTGCTTGGTCAAGAGGAGGTTCATCGGCTTAAGATCCCGATGAACCTCAAGAGTTAAGGGTTTGCGGCTTCGAGTTTAGGATTAGGGTTCAGGCTTTTTGGCTTTGAGCATTGGGGTAAGGATCTTTTCTGCTGCTTCGGGAGAAATCGCCACGATAGCCTGATGCCATCTGGGAGTTTCGGGACAAACAGGCCCCATCATACAACCCGACACTATAGGACTATAGGATCTTCCTGCAGGGATCCCCCCGAAAGGAAACCCGAAATAGCAGGATCCTTCCCGTAAGGACCCCTCCCCCTCCCCTCCCCCCCCACCCACCCTCAAAGTGGTACGGTGATTACCAAGGGGTATAGCTTGTTCGGAACCTAGCATGAAAGCCACCAATAGCCTCTTTCCCCTGTTTCGTTATGCCCCTCTAGTAAGTTGTCTGCCCGGCAACGATCGGCTCCGTCCGCTCGTGAAGGAAGCTCAGCGCACGTGCCACCGCACATGCCCACTGAGCCACCCGAGCCACATTGGGATGCCAGTCAGGTACCTGTTCACCCTAAACCCTAAACCCTAAACCCAACACTGTAGGGAGATCTGCACACCGAAAGCTGCTAATGGAGAGGTCCTGATAATAAGCTTGCATATGGGTGGTCGTCAAAAGTAGGGTCCCTTTTGGGGTGCCCTGAATATGAGGTGCCGTATTATAATAGGGACCCAAAACGGGACCCTAATTTTGACAACTACTCATATAGCAACAAATATCCCCCAAAGCACTTCCCTAACATTGGACCCAATCGCCTACATCCTAAACCGAAACCCATGAAACCTGAACCATAGCCGCCAAACTTCGACCCGTTAACATAGGTGTTGCACTTTTCAACCCGTGTTGGCTGGAGACGCCACGTCAATTCTTCTGGGGCGCTTGGCTTCGAAGTTCATATGGGTGGTTGTCAAAATTATGGTCCCTAATTGGGTACCCTAAATAATAGGTGCCGTACTATAATAGGGACCCAAAAAGGGACCCTAATTTTGACAACCACCCATATGAGTCTTCAAAGGTGGAGAGCTTCTGGACTTTGGCTTCTCAGGTGTCAGGGTTCAAGGGTTTGGAGGTTTTGCAAACAGGTCCTGATTCAGAGGACCATGTTTTGCACTACCGCAGCCCATGCTTGAATGATCAAACTGCGGTTGAGGGATAAGAGTGGTTGTCAAAATTATGGTCCCGTTTTGGAATATTTAGGGTACCCGAAAAGCTACCATAATTTTCCCTAAACCCTAAACCATAAACCCTAAACCCATAAGAGTTTAGGGTCCTGGGATGAGGGTTCACGGAAGATGGGTGCTGATACTGCGCCTTGGCCCTAGTTGGGATGCTTCTTGTATCGGAGTTTCCGAAAACTCGGGGTACCTTGTTGCGGGGTCCTTATAATAAGGATCTCACCATTTAGGGTACTATATTGGGGTCCCCTATTTTCGGAAACAAATCCCTGAGCCCCCCCAAACCTGAAGTTTGGCGCTTTGGGGTTTAGGGTTTAGGGGTTGAGGGTTTTGGGGTTTGGGAGTTTATATTGGGGTCCCCTATTTTCCGAAACCACCGTATTGCAAACCGACTACCTGGAAGGCCAGCCTCCTCACCTTTCAGGTACACCCTTCACCCTTGTCCGTTTAGAAATAATTGACAGAGCCCTATACCTATATCCCTTAATTGGAATTATTTAAGAAGGTCTACTAGCCGGTCTGTTTATTCTTTTGAAGGGGGCTTGTGGGTGTGGGTCTTAATGTTTGGAGGTTTGCCCACACGAACCCGGAACCTAGAACCCTAAACATTGAAATCCAAGTCCAAAATCCTCCACCTCTAAACCTGAAGCCCCAATGAGCAGGCTCCGCCCTTCTGCCTGATGCTTCTGCCGCTTGAGCTTAAAGAAGTTCTCCAAATCGCCGCCTGCTGCGCGGGCAAGCTGTGGGGCTGAAGCCGGGAACACTTGGGCTTGAGGTTATGGCTTTTGAATGCTTTTGATTTAATCCCTGAACCCCAAGCCCCAAACCCAGAACCTCCAAATCCTAATCCCTAACCCTAAACCCAGAGCCCCAAAATCCTAATAAACCCTAAACGCAGAGCCCCAAAATCCTAATAAACCCTAAACGCAGAGCCCCAAAGACCGAATCCTAAGCCCAACAATATCATGTCGTGTCCCGGGAGATGAGTTGATCCGGGAGGAGTGCTCCAAGCCCGCAGGATCACGGCTTTTTGGGTTTAGGGTTTAGGGTTTAAGCTTTTTGGACTTAGGGTTTAGGCTTTTTGGGTTTAAGGTCTTTTTCGGGTTTGGGATTTGGGATTGACGGTTAGGGTACGGGAGCTAAGAGCACCCCCGAAACCGAACAGCCATCCTAAACCCGTGAGCCCTATAGTATGTGGTTTCCGAAAGCTTGGGGGTACCTTGTTTTGGGTCCTTATAATAGGAACCCTACTATTCAGTGTGCTATATTGGGTTCCCCTATTTTCGGAAACCCCCATGTCGAGGTATGTCGTAGCATATTACAGCGCACCCAATAGTAGATGTTAACATATCGTAATCGTCTGGAAAACTTCATCGCGCATTTTAGCAGAATATACTATTCCATACTAACCCTCTCTCCCTTTTAAAAGAGCCAGAAGTAATGAATGCTAATCTCCCTCATATTGCTTAGGAATAAACCCCTAAACCCTTAACCCCTAATCTAAACCCTGAACCCCGAAACCCTCAACCTCCGAAAGTTCTCGAAGCCCAGCCCTAAACCCCTAAACCCTAAACCCTAGATCCCAAAAATCCTACAACCCTAGAGCTTAAAACCTTAATTCGAAGTCCAGCCCTACAGCCGAAACTCTAAAGCCTTACAACCCTAAGCCCTAGATCCCTATAAACCCTAAAGCCTAAAACTTTAATTCGAAGCCCAGCCTTAAGCCTAAACCCTAAACCCTGAAGTCTAAGCCCTAAGGCCCTAAACCCCGAAATTTTCGAATTCGAAACTCAGCCTGGCATGTATTCCATGACGCAGGCCAGCGGGCCGGACATGTCCAGGCAGGCTCCGAGAAAGAGGACCAAGTCCTAGGCTTTTTTGATCCTAAATCCTAACCCTAAACCCTCAACTAAACCCTAAACCTCAAAAAACCCTAAACCCGAAACTAAACCCTAAACCCCAAGTCCTAGGTTTTTTTGAACTCGAGGTTTAGGGCTTGGTTTTGGGGTTTAGGGCTTAGGGCTTAGGGTTTAGGGATCTACGGATCTAGGGTTTGGGGTTTAGGGAGCTTGGGGATTAAGGTTTAGGGAGCTGGGGGTTTAGGTCTCAGTATCTAGGGTTTATAAGGCTTAAGGAGCCGCTCAACACTTTCTATTCAACAATGACGTTTCTATTTTTGCACGGACTACTATTCTGGATTCTAGGTATGCCCAGTGCCATGTCAACGTTCGGACTACCCATTTTAGGTTCAGACTACCGGAACCGTAAACGAAACCCTTATTGGCCAAGGCCGACGAATACAGGAATTGACCGAGGCCGACGGATGATTGGCCGAGGCTGGCGAGTTCTTGGCCGACGAATTGTTGGCCAAGGCCAACAAAGCTGGCCAATAATTCCAAAAATCGTCGGCAGTGGCCGAAGCGCCTTGCCAACGAATTATATCGAAAACCCCGCCTAGCGTCCATGGCCCAAAACTCCAAACCCGAAGCTCCGAAGCCTATACGACCTGGCCCTAGCCCCCGTGCCCCCATGTAGGCCGTGAACCTAACTAAACATAAAGTTCGAATTTTTGGAAGCATAAACCCAACCCCCCAACTCCTAAAACCCTAAGCCCTAAACCCCGGATCGCCAAACCGTAAAAACCTCAAAATCCAGGCCGCGGACTCCTAAACCCAAAACCCTGAAACTCCGAAACCCGAAAACCCTACACCCGCAACACAACACCTTGAACCCTCAAGCCCTCAAGGCCCTGAACTCAAAAATCCGGATGGGAAATTACCAAAACTATTCCTTGAGGACACCATAACTAATATATTATCCAACACAATACTATTCTACTTGCTACTTGGAGGTTCATGGGTCGCCAAAGCTGGAATTTAAGTAGGGTAACTAGAGTCATAACCTGCATATAGTAACGGACTTACCACCCCGCCTGAGAAACTTCCGATCAACCTCCAATCACACCAAAAACCTGTTGTACTTACTACTCGGAGGTTCATGGGCACCTTGACGTAGAGTTGTACTCAAAGGACGTATAACCCCCCATGAACCTCCCCCTGAGGAAACTTCTTGGAGGGCCGGGGGCCTGAGTAAGCAGTTGTTTATAGAGTTAGAAGTACCGTAAGCCGAATTGGGATCCCATTTCGGATAGTTGTAATCTACTTAGTACCTACTACCCCAAACCGTAACCCTAAGCCCTCCTCTCAGTATGGAGTTTGTTGCCCAGGAGCTGGGTGGCGAATCGCCGAGAGGGTCTCCACTTCGTGGAGTAGTTCGTCAGTCAAGGCAACCTAGGAACCCGTAACTTTTAGGGGTTTAGGGTTTAAGGTTCTGGAGCTCAAGCTTTAGAACTTGCGGCGTACGGGTTCCCGGGCTTCCGGGCTTCGGGCTTCGGGGCGCAGGATGCAACAACCTTGGATCCCTAAATCAGGGCTTCATGCCTTTTTGAATTGAACTTGTTGAGAGGCAACTAGCTTGTGAGCTGCGTGTCATGTGTCTTTAAAGCCATGCTGCCCGCGAAACCTGGCTACCAGTGTGGGGTTTCTATAGCGGGAAGGTTTAGTTTTTGTCTCAGGTTCAAAAGGGTTCCATGGTTTAGGGTTTAGGGATGTTTAGGGCTTAGGACGTAGGACGTTGTGTTTAGCGTTTACGGTTTTTTCTTGAGCTTCAAAAGGCATGAATATATCGGAGGTTTTGGCGAAATGTCCGGGATTAGAGCTTCTCGAGCTGTCCTTCTCCAGGAAACAGTTGCAATGATATTTGCCCTGCTTGCTGAGTCCCCTGACGGTCTAACCCTAAACAGCTAAGCCCGGTAGAATCCTAAACCGAAACACCAGAATCCTAAACCATATTCACTGATTCAAGCGTTGTCAGTGCGTCCCTCATACCTAGACTAGAGAAGCCACAAAAAGACCTGAGGCCCGAGATCCACCGCGTCAGCGGGACTCCACGGGCCAAAGCTGCGAGCACTCACCTCACTCTCCTCATCGCTGGCCCAAGCCTCCACATCGGCCAAAAGAAATTCAAAAAATCGTATGCTTGGCTCAAGGCCAGCCAGTGCTCGTGGAGCAACCCAGCTCCGCGATCAAATTGTGCTGCGATGATGTCCGCATGATCTCCTGGGGTCCGCGAGAGGACCTAGCCAAGAATGGGGCAGTCCGAGCCGCTGCCAGCTGCGCCAGCCGCATGATCTGCTTTGCGGTCGGCAAAAGGATCTCGTCCTCGAGGTGCCCCTCCGCTGTAAGGCCCGACAGGACCATCACGGCCGCCTGGCGGCGGGCTGCGTGTTGCAGGAGGGTGCTGCAAGGCGAAGATGTCTGGATTGCGAAGCACATCAAGCTGGTTCCCACACATGCATGCAGTGGAGGCCGTACGCGCTGTGGCCAGCAGCACCCAAGTCCCGTGGTCTGAACAACCATCGGGACGAAGGCAACCCCTTGACTCTCGCAGGTGCGGCAGTGTTCAGATGCGAGTCTTTGTGCTTGGCATATTCTGACGCTGCAGCGCCCGTCTCCCTATAACCCTAGCAACTTGAGCCACAGTCTCCTGCCGCTGGGGCGTCGCTTAACGGCAAAGTCCCATGCAAAAGCCGACCCGGCCAAGGCGGGAAGGTAGATGTCCGCAGGGCGGCGTCTGGCTGTCTTCGGGGCGTTGAGGCAGCAACAGGTTGGCCGGCTCCTTGACAGGTTGAAGCCGGAGCGATCAGCCCACTGAAACACCAGATCTCGCACCGAGTTGTGGCGCTGGGCGCGCTCGACGCACATGGTAGCATCGTGATTCCAGCGGCCCAAGATCCCATCGCACTGCGGGCATCAGCAACTCCACATTCTGCAAACCCCCCCAGGCGCCTGCGCACTTCGGGAACAAACGCCGCAGGCTCCAAGCGAGTGCGGTGGGATGGGACAGCGTTCAGGAAGGCGCGGGCCCCCAAACCGGCCTCGGAGCGCAACTCGGCTTAAGGCACAAGAATGGCCTGGCTGAACTGCCTTTCCCAACCGCAAGTGTCTATCGCCAAGGAGAGGCTGCGCTGAGTGCGGCGTGATGAAGTGTGGTTTTGTGTTCAGGGTTTTGAGGGGTTGATGCTGTTGTTGACACTGTTTGAGTTGCAGCTGGCTCCGTCAACAATTTTAGCGATTTAGGGTATCAGCTTTTGCGGGCCTAGGCTGGTGGGCAAAAACTCATGCATAACCTCAACAACGAAGATACCAGATTTAGTATCGGAGATGATGCAGACTTGCGTCCATCAACGACACCGTCTTTACTCTTTAGCTGGCCTAAACTCCGTACTTGGATGGCTGCTGCTGGTCATGAGTTCAGACTGCGATGTGGGGCACTCATACAAAAGCTCTCCTGAAATCCGAGGAGCATTGGTCCCCTCCATCGCTTCATCTGGGTCCACAGCAGCTACCGGCTCGAGGAGGAGTGTCTTCATTACGACCTGAGATGTGCAGGCTGCTGTTTCTGGAGTTCAGGTGCTCCCACGATTAAGACAATGTGGATGGCGAGCAAGAAGATGGTGGTGGCGGTGCTGGCGATGGTGATGATGGCAATCAGGACGCTGAGCGCGATGACGAGGATGAACATGCTCTGATGATGATGATGACGATGATGATGCTGGTGGTGAAGATGATTAGGGTGCTGATGGTGATGATGATGGTGGTGGTGATGATGGTGATGATGATGGTGGTGATGATGGCGATGATGGCGACAACGATGCTAATTAAGATTACGATGACGATTGCGACGGCCATGGCGATGGCAACAACGACAATGGTGATGATGATGATGATCGTTATCATGATGATGATGATGATGACGATGATGGCGATGATGCCGCTGATGGCGATGACGCCGTTGTTGATGATGATGGTGACTGTGATACTGATGCGAGAGAGCGTGTTTCATGGCCTGAACTTCTGCCCTTACGACTTCTCAAGAACAAAGCTCAAACAGCAATTGAACCCTCAGCTTTAATATCCTAGACTCTGCAAACAGGTGACTCGGGTGCCATTCCAGCGCCCAAGCTGCACACAGCTCTTTAAGGTCCGGCTAAGCACACTCTCCAGCTCAATGTCCTCGCGTTGGAGGGCTCCATGTCAGGGGCTGTTCTCCTTCTCGTCCTTTCTAAACCCTAAACCCTAAACCCTAAACCCTAAACCCTAAGCCCTAAACCCTAAGCCCTAAACCCTAAACCCTAAGCCCTAACCCCTAAACCCTAAGCCCTAACCCCTAAAGCATGAAGTCTAGAAGTTTAACCCTTAAGCCTGAGCTTTAGACGAAACACCCCAAGCTTTCGACCCCAACTTGGCTAGGGCCCCAAAAAAGCACATAAGCAAAAATTAGGGTAGGGATATCCCATATAAACCCCCTTATAATGGAGCCCAATAAGGTAGGGATATCCCCATAAAATGCTTATGCTTATGTGCTTTTGGGGTCCCTAATTGGCCGCCCCCCTGAAAATGAGAGCGGCAATAGGCCTTACTATAGGGGCCTAAATCAGTACCAACACTATTTTACTGGTTCCTTTTAAAGGCTTCCTTTAAGGGTCCTATAAGGCATCTTTCTCGGGGCCTAAGTAATTACCAATACAATTTAGGAGGTTCCATATTGTAACTATAGTATCATAAGCCCCCAAACCCTATTCTAATTATTAAGGCCCCCATATTACAGTCCTTGCAGAACCGCAGCGTGCCGTTCCCTGAAACCTATGCTGATGACTAAGGCTCTTGAAAAGGAGCCCTATACCCTACTCTTGCATGAACCAGAGAGGGAAACCGCTTTAAGGCCCTGTGCACCCAAAGCAATTTAGAAGCCGGAACAGTCTATACTTATACATATATATTGTACAGTGCATATGTATATATGCATATATACACCTGCTTGTGTATTCATTTGCCTGTCTAAGCAAATATTAACAGTTTGTATACATATAATTATACATTTTTTAACAAATAGAGATTACATGTAGAGAGAGAAAGAGAGAGAGAGAGAGAGAGAGAGAGAGAGAAAAAAAAAAAAAACACGCGAGGAACAGATTCAAACCCCCGTGCAACCCACAGATTCCGAGTCACTATACCCCGGATTGAATGCCCTAGAACCCTAAACCTACGAAAGCCCAGATAACAACTACCCATGAACTTGCCAGTGAAGTAACCTACGTAAGCTCCTTGGGGTTTATAAGTAGTATAACGGTGCTTATAAACTATATTATGGTGCCTATGACCCCACTGACGTCTACCCATGAAACTGCAAGTCAAGTAGGTTCCCAGTCCTCATGTTTCAGCTTCCAGAAGCACTCCTCCGCCTTCTTTGCGAGCTCCCGGCACTTCTCCGCAGAGGCCAAGGAACCTCATTTTGGTTTTAAATTTTTAGTTTTTTTGAAAGCCTTTTTCCGACTGCCTTAGAAAGGTCCGGAACGCCTAGTTCAGGCGAGACGCTAAGGTTTGGGGTTTAGGGTTTAGGGCTTATCTGCTTTAGGGGTGTTGAGCTTTTGAGTGAGGTTTGGGGTTGACAGTAGAAGCCCAAAAGTTGGAAATCGGATTAAGGACAAATAACGCTGGGATTCCCTCCGCAGTACTCTTAAGGATTGAGGCTGTTGGGTTTCCAACTTTTCTGCTTCTACTGTAAGCTTCTTTGGACTCTTACGGTTTAGGGCTTCGGTGGGTTTGGGGATCGTGTGTGATGCTTTTCTTTTCCGAGGATCTGCTTGTCTTGTTGGTATGAATGGGGTGGGACATGGGCTCTAAATCCTAAACTCTAAGTGCTGTAGAAAGGCTGAGACAGGGGATGAGCATTTGGGTTCAATTATCCGGATTTCGCGAGCAGGGGCATGACCAGCATCGCCATTAGGTTTAGGGGTGTTGGAGCTTAGGGGTTGGGTTTAGGGTTTATGGGCTTAGGGGTGTAGGGTTTCGGCTTTAGGGGTTTATGGTTTAGGTTTCCTGAGACCGGAAACCTTCAATCCACGTCCTGAGCCCTATTCCTAACCCCTGAACCAGACCCCACCTACGGCTCAGGGGGGCCCAGGTCCAAACTTGGGGGGTTCCGAAATTAGGGGTACCTTAGGTTTCCTTACAAGGCTTCTATAACCTGAACCCTAAAGCCTACACCCCCAAACCCTAAACCCTAGGGTACTGTAAGGGCCCCTTTAACGGGCTGTATAAGCGTTCAGAGTTTTCGAAAGTTACGGCCAGATATAGAGCCATAGGTAACCCCAAGTAGTAGGTGTACTCAGCGTACCTAGAACTGTGCATGATATGGGTGGTTGTCAAAATTATGGTCCCTTTTTGGGTCCCTATTGTAATAAAACACCTAATATTTAGGATACCCAAAAAGGGACCATAATTTTGACAACCACCCATGTGGGAGTTTCCGAAGATATATAAAGCCCTTTGAAGGAACCCTTATTGAAGTACCCTGACAGTAACCCTTTAAACAAACCCGAAGGTACCCCCTAATTTTCGGAAACCCTAAGCCCTAAACCGTATACCCTTTATGGAACCCTTATAGATCCCTTATTTAAGGAACCCTTAAAGGATCTCCTTGATAGGGCCCCAGAAAAGCACATAAGCAAAAATGATGACAGGGTTATCCCATACTAACCCCCTCACAATGAAACCCAATAAGGTAGGGAGATACCTATAAAATGCTTATGCTCAGGTGCTTTTTGTGTCCCTAATTTACAGGTACCCCCCTACTTTTCGGAAACCCTAAACCCTAAACCGTATACCCTTCATGGAACCCTTATGGATCCCCTTAAGGAACCCTTACCCCTTATATGTGCCAGCATCCGCGCACCCCCCCCCCCCCTCCCCCCCCCATGGTAATCCCCCTCCCCCCCCCTGTGGTTCCTGTGGTTCCCCCCCCCCCTGTGGTTCCTCTTGGTTTTCCCCCTCCCTTTTGTGGTTCTTCTGGTTCCTGTCTCCCCCCTCCCCCCCTGTGGTTCCTGTGGTTCCTCCGCGTGGTTGCTGCTGCTTTGTTGTTGCTGCTGTTCTTCTTCTTGTTCTTGTTCTTGTTCTTGTTGTGTGGTCGCCCGGGTCGGGGGGGGGGGGATACCATTGGGGGGGGGGGGGTCGAGAACGCGGAGCGCGGGCACATATAGAACCCTTATAGATCCCTTTAAGGAGCCCTTACTTGAAGGCTCATGGGACTTAGTAAGTAAGGTAATAAGTAGGACATAATCAGGAGAACCCCACTTAGGGGACTTATAACCCCAATTATAACCTACTTACTAAGTCCCATGATCCTCTAAGTGTGGATCCCTTTAAGGAGCCCTCCCTAGGATCCCTTTAAAGGTATCCCCAAATTTTCGGAAGCCCAGCGGCTCACGCCCCAAGAGCTTGTCACGGAGCAGCTGGCAGATCTGGAGCTCACGCGCCGCACCACCTTGGAGGCTGAGCCTTAAGGCTTTAGGGTTTAGGGTTTAGGGTTAGGGGTTTAGGGTTTAGGGTTTTAGGGCTCAGGGCAGTTTGCGGTTTAGGGTTTAGGGTTCTGAATTATCGTAGGCCCTAAACCCTAAACCGGAAAAGCTCAAAGGCTTCCTCATTACTCAGCTACTAAGCCACCGGTGGCAACTTCTCTGGCAAGTGGACGTCCCCCAAGCTCGAGCTGTCGCAGTCCTCGGGGTAGACGGTCCATTTGCGACGACTGCATATGATTTGACAATTAGGGTCACGGGCCCTGACAATGAGACTTGGGAGAATGTGGGGTGGCGGTTAAACTCAAGTTCCCTTGCCATCTAACGTCAGAAGTGAACAGGCTAGGGATCATGATCGTTTGCAAGTTTACAAAATGCCCCCAAAGTCCTCCGTCGTAGCGGCTGTTCCATACAGGGTCACCTCGGCTCTGAAACTGAGAAGCACAACCCAGAGCCTCCAAAACCCCTGCATTCAGGAATATACCTTAAATCATATTAGGGCTCCTATTATAATTTAAGGTATATTCCTTAATTAAAGGGTTTTGGAGTCTCTGGGAAGTTAGGATCCGAAGCGCCCCAGCTTCGGGGTTGATTTGGGAGTTTCCGAAAATATGGGTACCTTATTTTGGGGGTCCTTATAATAAGGATCCTACTATTTCGGATACTATATTTGGGTCCCCTATTTTGGGAAACTCCCATTTGAGGTTTGAGGTTTCCGGAATATACCAGTGGCTTCGGTTTCGGATCAACAGCAGAAAACCGTATTATGGCAACCTTGAGGGGGACTTGAACCCAAAAACCCACTCGGAACTCGGAATTTGGGCAGTCAGTATCGCGAACATGCCATGCAGAAGATATCGTCCAATGAACGAAAACTCCACAATGGGGATGTCTTCAAACTACGAGTCCTTTGGGGGCATAGTCTGTCCTGAAACTAGAGTGTTGAAATTCCCAACTCCCTGACCCTGCCATCTACATTCGATTGGATAAGATTTAGGGCTTAAACCCGAAACCCTTAACCCTTAAGCCCTAAACCCTTAACCCTAAACCCTAAACCGATAAACCCTGAACCCTTAAATCCTTAAACCCTTAAACCCTAAAGCCTTGAACCCCAAACCCTAAACCCCTAAACCCTAAACTCTTGGACTCTGCAATCCCAAGCGCTGAAACCAGGAGGCCCTGACCTCCGGATCAAACTCCTTCAATCCTACTTAGAGGTTCATGGGGCTTAGGGTTCCTTAAAGGGCTCCTTAAAGGGTTTAGGGTTTAGGGATCTAGACTATATGGGTTCTATAAGGGGTCGTTTAGGTTACTTAGAGGTTCATGGGGCTTAGTAAGTAGGTTATAGTTGGGGTTATAAGTCCCCTAAGTGGGGTTATCCTAATAATAACCTACTTATGGCCTTACTTACTAAGTCCCATGAGCCTTCAACCCTAAACTTTAAACCCCCTGACAGCAGGCCTAAACCCGAAACCCTAAATCCCAAACTCTTAAACCCTAGAAAACCCTAAATCCGAAGCTCTAGACCCTAAACCCCCAATCCTAAACTCTAAACCCTAAATCCTAAACTCTAAACCCCTGAAGTTTTCGAAGCCCCAAACTCCCAATTCTTGCACCTTGATCACGGAACATACATTGAATTATGATGGGATCCTTGTAAGGGTTTGGGGTTTAGGGTTTGGGGTTGCTAGAACTGAACGCATGCTCCTGAATTATGGGGTCTTGGGCCCTTAGGGGGTTTCCGGGTGTCGGAGGTTGGAAGATGCAAGGCTTCGGGCCTGGTAGGTCCATACTTGAAGGCTCATGGGTGTAGGTTATAATTAGGATAACCCCACTTAGGGGACTTATAACCCCAAATATAACCTAATTACTAGGTCACATGATCCTCTAAGTAGGGGGCCTTAATGCCCACAGTAATGACCTAATAAGGCCTATTTAAGGAAGTATAGTCCCCTCCCCCCCCCCTCCCCCTTACCCCCCCCAAGGCTCCCTATGTTAGGTCGCGTCCAGTGGTTAGATATGGTTAAATTAGGCCTACACTACTGGGTTGTGGCTTTGGGGCTCTGAAAAGTATTTATGAAGAGGTACCTCTCTAGGATCTGCAAAGGGAAATTGAAAAGTTTCCCAAATCGCAACCTTGACTATATAGTATGATGGTAAAGAGCTGACAGGTCAGAGTATGTTCTTGCGATGAAGACTCCCTTGTTGTTTCCATGCTTTGGGGTTTGGCATTGTCTATGTTCAGAGATGTTTAGAGAGTTTGGGGCTCGGTTGCAGGACTCTGCGCTAACTTGCGGAACTCTGCAACCCTGACGGGGCGCTAGCGAGCATGCAGTCCTCTGAGTGCCTGTTTCCGAAACCTTAAACTCGAAACTTTACACCTGGAACACTCAACCCTAAACCCTGAACCCCAAACCTCAAACCCTAAACCCTAATGCCTAAACCCCAAACCTTAAACCCTAAACCCCAAACCCTAAACCCTAAACCCTAAACTATTAAATAAAATATATATTCCTTATAGGGATAATATAGGGATTACTATTTTTTATTTTTTGGGGGGTTCTTAAGCAAATAGTAGTAAGCCCTAACCCGAAACCCTAATGCCTAAACCCCAAACCCTAAACCCCAAACCCCAAACCCTAAACCCTAAACCCTAAACCCTCAACCCTAAACCCTAAACCCTAAGCCCTAACCCGAAACCCGGACCCAAAACCCGAAACCCGCAGACGAACTGGCCCCTGAAGCTCCGAAGCCCTCAGTTGGACCTCGGAAGGATCCAAAAAAGTAGATCCCTTAATTAGGGTTTAGGGATCTATAATATAAGGGTTCTGTAAGGGGTAGCTTAGGTTACTTAGAGGATCATGGGACTTAGTAAGTAGCTTATAATTGGGATTATAAGTCCCCCAAAGTGGGGCTATCCTAATTATAACCTACTTATAACCTTACTGACTAAGTCCCATGAGCCTTCAAGTAGGGAGATCTGACCACCGAAAGATGCTACAGTAAACCCCATAAAGTTGGACACCGGATTAAGGCCAAATAGTGCTGGGATTCCCTCTACATTGCTCTTAGGGATTGAGGCTATTGGGTTTCCAACTTATGGGCTTCTACTGTAAAGTACCCTGAGTAGTACAGGGCCCCAAATTGGGGGATCTACTTTCTAGATCCTCCCGGGGGTCTGGGCAGTTGCACCTCGGAAGGAAGAGACACGTGGACAGAAGCCATTGCTCCCAAAAATTTCAGGAAACCCCCAACACAAACCGAGGGTTTAGGGTTCAGGTGCAAACCGAATACTGTATAAGACTCGAATACACTACAATGAGCTACAGTATACTATTATCTACTGCAGTGTATGAGTAGAGTATGTAAAAGCAACGGTGCATGGTCTTTTTAGCCCAAAAATTTCCTGAGCCAAAACTGCAGCAAACTAAAACTGGGCGAGTGGGCCCAAAACCCGAAACCCAACAGCTGCAGAGCCCTGAAACCCCCTAGAAGCTTGAAGCCCGAATTCAATCGCTGAATTCAAATCCCACGGGTGCTGGCGAAACCCTTCTCCCTAAACCCCAAACCCTAAAACCCTAACAGCCTAAACCCTAAACCGTCAGGGTTCTAAACTCTCAGATTCAGACTTGAAAGTTCAGAACTTGAGGGCTGTTGGGCTTCGCCTGAGTTTCGGGCATGAAGTGCCCGGGTGCTGTCGGGATTGTTCTTTGGGGCTCGAAGAGGCTTACGGTACTACACCGGCGTCTGGGTCACCAATGACCAACACTACTTAGAGGATCATGGGACTTAGTAAGTAGGTTATAATTGGGGTTATAAGTCCCCTAAGTGGGGTTATCCTAATTATAACCTACTTATAACCTTACTTACGAAGTCCCATGAGCCTTCAAGTAACCCCAAAGCAAGGTTCTCACAGGGCATTTTTCCGTCCCTGCATTCGCCACCAAGAGCTCGCAGTTTTGAGAGCCCAGCCGCTGGGAGCGGGTGAAACCAAGGCCTTCTTTAGGCCCTGAAGCACGTCTTGAAACCCGAAACCTGAGCCACGTGAAATATACACCTTGCAATCGAATGGCCTAAACCGTAGACACCAAAGATACAGAACCGAGTCGTGGAGCGCCTGCAATGGGCCTACAAGCCGCACATCTCAATCTCATACAACATGATGAAACTTGACAGAAGCCAGAACATCACCACAAACCACGCTTTCTCGCTATACCTCACAGTCTAAAGATCTAAACTCTCAAACCCTAAACCCTCCTCCCTATGGCATTGCAGTCCATTCCATCCTACATCCGAAATCCTAAACAGCAAACATGAACCCTAAACCCCCGAAGCCACACTAACCAGCCGTTTATCTCTGCCACCGCACATCACACGTCTGGCGGTGCCGTAACGCCAGCCTTTTGACCGATCCTGGCTTGGAGTTTAGGGTTTAGGGCTTAGCTTGCAGATTCGGGGTTCGGGTGGGTTCAGGGCTCCTGTCAGGGTTGTGAAAGGCTACTGCAAAAAGCCAGGGCTTGGGGTTGTTTGAGGGGTTTCGGGTTCGGGGGTTACGGCATCGGATTCGGGTGGGAATGGCTTAAGGGCTGGATATTCAGAGGTGGCATTCCATGATGGTAATTAGCACGGCGCGTGCTCGGTCAAACACACCGCCAACAAGACATAACTTCCGAGTTTGATGATATAGCGATCGTTGTCGCACGACCGTCGACATCCAAGGCACAGACAAATTGCGCGACCACAGAGTGGCCTTGCGCCCGGCTGGGACGGCAAGTCGACTTCGAAGCACCGAAGATAGGGTCTATCACGACGCCGAACCAACCTCAGCTCATCTCCGAATTTGACAGGGAGTGGTTCCCAGAGCTTCAGAAAATCCACCACGATCTGAGAAGAGACGTCGTACTTCCAATCCCAGTTCTCTTCCACACGCGATACCTGTCCAGCAATCCCGCTGCACACTGCCGCCAGAGTGTGCAGCGGTAATGTGCAAGCTTGATCTTGTCGATCACCGCCGGTCGTTCTTCCGGTGTCACCTGCCAGGCCACTACAATCTCGTCCAACCTCGCACAGCCGGCTCTGGCCTAAATGGGCAAAAACGTTCTGCCGAAGGAGCAACTTCGCTGGTACTGAAAGGATCATGAGACTTAGTCATTAGGGTTACTATTAAGCTGACTATGCTTATAGCCCCAATTAAGGTACTTATAGCCATACTTGCTAAGTCCCATGATCCTCCAAGTAGCTCCCTTTTGGCGTTTCGCTGACTTTCGGACGAATGCTTGCGACAGAACAAAGCTCGCAACCCAAAACTCTGCTTACTTGGAGGGGCAGGGGACTTAGCAAGGGTTCGTAAAGGGCTCCTTAAAGGGATCTATAGGGTTCCTGAAAGGGATCTATGGGGTGTAGGGTCTAGGGTCTACTTGGAGGGGCAGGGGACTTAGTAAGTAGGTTAAAAGTAGGGTTATAATTGAGGTAATGGTGCTTATAACTCTACTTATAACCTACTTACTAAGTCCCCTGCCCGTCCAAGTAGGGTTCAGAGCATAGGAACCTGATTAGGAAACCTTGGGTCCCTACCACGGCTCTTTATGGGTTTATGGTTTAGGGTTTAGGACTATTTTTTCCGGATCCTAGGATTTTGGGGTCATAGGCCCAGGGTTTCTGAATCAAACCCCCTACGTTATCGAGAAGCTAGAAGGCTATCGGCTCGCCTGGGGGGTCGAAATGTTGAAGCCCTTCGGGAACCCTTTTAGAACCCTGGCCGGAACCGTTCGGGCACCCTGACATTAAAACAAAGTGCAAAACCTTAAAGCACCCTGACATTTAAAAGAGTGAGAAACCTTAACCTCAAACCCTAAAGCCGTAGTCCTAAACATCAAAGCCTCAACCCCCAAACCTCAAAGCCTAAATACACCCTTAAACTCAAAGCCTGACCCCCAACCTCAAAGCTTTAATAGACCCCTCCTTTTTTTTTTTGGGCGGCCCTATGCTGGGGATATGCATCTCCATGGACTGCAGAATGGAATCCTTAATCGATTTCCATTGCTGGTCCAGCCTCTGCTGGTCTGTGCACGACTGTGAAGGCTGGGAGGGGGCGTCCACCGCTTCTGTGTCGGGCGGGGCAAGCTCCTCGAAGGCTGACTGAAGCTGGAAGGCTTCTGTGAAGTGAGTGTTGAAGGAAAGAATGGACTGTGCATCTGGGCGTCTGGTCAGCTTGGGGGTGGGTGCGGCTCGCTTGTGGCAGGCTGTGTGTAAGGAGAGTGTGACTCTGGTGAGAAAGTGGTTGCTGTTGAGGGCGGCGTTCGGGAGGGTGTGTACATCAGTGACCATATTCTTCCAGGCGAATTTGGTGATGGCATGGTCCAGCTGTACCAGCTCACCGTTCGGGCGCTGGTGTGTCATCCGATGGCCCTCGTCTTTGGCCATCCACGTCTGTGGGAAGCATAAGTCGTGACTGACCGACATCTCAAACAGCTGTGCGTGGTTGGACAATGAGTCGTCCTCGCCAGCCTGTGAAGGTAGGGTCTCATCGGCCACGTTCGCTCCAAAGTGGGCGTGAGGTCCGACACTTCCGCGATTGGCGGATAACTCATCGAGCAGTTGCGCGTTAAAGTCCCCTACCAATAGTAGAGGTTCGCTGGCGGGGTGCCTGTGAAGGATGTCCCCAAGCGTCTGCCAGAAAGCATCGCGAACCGGCTGCTCACGTTGATTGTGAGGAGCATACACCACCTGAACTGTGAGAGGGGCCTCTGATGTGTCGATCTTGAAAGAAAGAAAACGACCGTCGGTGGCGACAATGTCCAGGATGCAAGGTGTGAGCCGCGGGGAGGTAATCAAGGATACTCCCGTGAAGGTTTGAACCGGATTTCCCTGGGCATCCAGTTTGTCATCGGCACTGTGTGTGACAGTGTACCCATCGATCATAAAGCGCAGCCAGTCAAGGCCATGCGTCTTCATGATCTTGATCAGGGTGTGGATCTTGCCGGCTTCCAGAAGGCCCGTGGTGTTCCAAAATCCTCCTTTCAGACGTACTTTGGAGCGCAGCTGTGTGGAATGCCTCTGTCTGCCGTGCTCTTGAGGGCTACGGCAGTGGGTCTTGAACCAGTTGGCTATCGCCGTAGGCCCTGGCCGAAAGCATCTGCATACCTCGGAGGACACAACCAAGTCGTTCTTTCGTGGTCTTCAATGCAATCTTTGAGGCCGCCAACGTTATTTTCTTCCTGTCCTCGTCCACTGTCATATCATCGAGCATGTCACTCCACAGACACAGCGAAGTAAACTCTGTCGTGTTCACAACGACCTGGCTTGCGACAGGACAGCATCTTAGAAAGTGCATTGCATTCCAAAACTGCCTTCTGGGTACCCTGGTGTGTTTCTTGGTTCTGAGAGAACCGAGAAATCGGGAGTGACAGTCACGTCTGTAGTTCGCTGATAGCAGCTCAGCAGATGGTGAGTTCTCATCCCTGGCCGCTGTCATGGCGGAAATCAGGGTAGGGTACGCGTCCAAGATGGCCGCCACCACGTGCAAGCCTTCATTCTTGATGGCAGATTTCAGAATGGTGGGAGGCTGCAGTTCCACGTACTCAGTCCTTGCGGTGGACTGCTGTCCCTCTATCGTCACCATGTCAGCCTTCGTGGAGAGCTCCACATTATGACATTGATCGTCTGTTTTGCTTGAGCCAAAATGGCATAGACCCCTCCTAAACCCACAAACCTCGAAGCCCAAACCCCTAAACCCGAAGCCACCAACATATGGGAGTTTCCGAAAATCTGGGACCCTACGAAAGTTCCCTTAATTCTAGGATCCTTCCTTTAAGGGCCCAAAAAGTGGAGCCCTTCAAAGGAACCCTAACGTACCCTTGAATTTTTGGAAACTCCGATACTTGAAGGCTCCTGGGACTTAGTAAGTAAGGTTATAAGTAGGTTATTATTAGGATAACCCCACTTAGGGGACTTAGAACCCCAGTTATAACCTACTTACTAAGTCCCATGAACCTCTAAGTAACCTAAACTACCCCTTGTAGAACCCTTATATTCTAGATCCCTAAACCCTAAACCCTTTAAGGAGCCCTTTAAGGAACCCTAAGTCCCATGATCCTCTAAGTAGACCCTAAACCCTAAACCCTATAGATACCTCTAAGGAACCCTATAGATCCCTTTAAGGAGCCCTTTAGGAACCCTTACTAAGTCCCATGATCCTCAAAGTAGGATTGCCGCAGCCCTGAACCGAGCTCGAGGCTTCCCCGGCTCCCACGGATGAGCATTCATCAGCCTTAGTGCGGCGGAAGGAATTAGGGGATTCCTTTAAAGGGATCTATAGGGTTCCTTTAAAGGGATCTATAGGGTTCCTTTAAAGGGATCTATAGGGCTCCTTTAAGGGATCTATAAGGTTCCTTTAAGGGATCTATAAGGGTTCTATAAAGGCTTTAATGGGACTTATAGGGTTTCTTAAAGGGCTCCTTAAAGGGTTTAGGGTTTAGGGATCTAGAATATAAGGGTTCTATAAGGGTAGTTTAGGTTACTTAGAGGTTCATGGGGCTTAGTAAGTAGGTTATACCTGGGGTTATAAGTCCCCTAAGTGGGGTTATCCTAATAGCCTACTTATAACCGTACTTACTAAGTCCCATGAGCCTTCAAGTAGGGGTACCTTAGGGTTCCTTTAAAGGGTTACTATAAGGGTACTATAAGGGGTTCCTTGAAAGGGCTCTTTAAGGGCTTAGAGTTTCCGAAACTTAGGGGGTACCTTATGTTGGGGTCCTTATGATAAGGATCCTAGTATGTAGGGTACTTTAGTAGGGTCCCCTATTTTCGGAAACTCCCATATCGCTTAGTTGAGGGTGCGTTGGCTTAACTTCGACATGCAGGGGCTGAATTTAGGGAGGCCGGGGGCTTATTACGGGCATCTTGGTGTGAGTTTAGGGTTTAGGGTTCAGGGCTTAGGGTTTAGGGTTTAGGGCGTGCGCTTACCTCTCGAAAATAAACGATAATGTGGATTCATTCATACTGTCTTCTGTATGAAGACTACTCCTTGCATTAAGGGCTTTTCTGCCTGAATCCAAAGCTGCTCCTTTCAAGAAACCCAAACGAAAACCCACAGAGCATGCAGGCAAAGCGCAGGCCACGGGGGCATCGGACAGGAGCGTGGACCTCCGACACATTGGGTGAGTTTGGATTCGTTTTGCATGTTTTTGTCTAGGCATTTATAAACATAACCCCAAACCCTAAAACCCTAAACCCTAAACCCCACAAACCTAAACCCTTAACCCTGCAAACCGTATGAACCCTGACCCTAAACCGCTCTTAGGACACGGACACAACTCAAGTTTTAGGATGTCAGAAAAGTCGATCCTACCAAACCTTACTGTTTTGGGGTTTCTACCCCTTAATCAAGGGATCATAACCCATTATTTTGCAGGGTTCCGGGTCACTGTTTGGGTTACAGATTTAGGATTTTTACGGCGTAGGACGGAGGGGTTCGGGATCTTGCAACTTGGAGTTTTCAAGGTTTCAGAGGCTTGGGTATGGTTAAGGGTTTCTGGAGTTTCAGGGCTTCGCATGGTTTGTGGGCGGCTATCGGCTACTGGCTTGTTTGATTGTTCTTTTGTGACAGCTAATCTCTCTGGACCGAAAGTTCCAGGTACTCTGGTTGTTGGCATGAACAGTTGCGATCACTCTGACCCGAAGCGCTGAGTCTTAAACATGCTACAAGTTGAAGGAACGCAATGAATCTTAACATCCTTAGCTAAACAAGCACCCTCATAAGTACCCGAAGCAAAAGCACCCATAATGACCTGCAGGATTAAAAATGATTGCGAAACACCGTGTCATGGTTGACGCCTACTTACAACCTTCATTCGAGCACCTTGTGGATAAACATCCCATAAGACTCGTGTAAAACACGTAATAATGTATATCAACCTCGAAACACACACAATCATATAAGCTCCAGTAAACCCAAGAAAATCACATTCAATGCCTATGAAACCAAACTACCTGTCGTGGCCTTTGGCCCCTTTACCAGCCGTAGCTCGCAGCCGTCCTTCACTCAGCTCAAAGGGGCTGCGGGGGCCTGGGTTAAGGGCTTCGCTTCGGATTTTTGGTTGAGCTCCTTTTCTACAAAGCCCGAAGGTCTTCGAGAGGCGCGAACTTCGCTTCGGATTTTGGGTTTGGGGTTTACACAAGGTTTAGGGTCTAGGATCTAAAGGTTGCAGGTTACAGCTGCGCCTGTCCTTCAGATGCTCTTGTACTACAGCAGTGCCGGGACCTTCTACCCTGAGCCCTGCAACCTACTTAGTCCCCTAAGTGGGGTTATCCTAATTATAACCTACTTATAACCTGACTTACTAAGTCCCATGAGCCTTCAAGTACCCCAGAGACCTGAACCGCCAGAATTCTAAAAGCTATCAGCCCCTCTAACAGCCCTGTGTAAACGAACTTCCTGGATACCCTGCTCCACCAGCGGCTTGCCCTCATCAAGAAGCTTTCCTTGGATGCCGTGGGGACACAATGCAACACCACCCCGAGCCTTTTCTGAAGTTCTACATAGCTATGCCTTTGAAATTAATCACTTGCTCCAAAGACTAACGCGCCAACGCCCACAATGATCCGTCATCCCGAATACTAATCCTTTTTGTTCCAGAACCGCCCCGAATAGTACTCCCGAGTTAAGCAAGACTGCAGTTGATTGAGGCGACTTCGGGGTGCCTGTCGGTCTAGGAAGTAGCGCATCTTCCGAAACCCTAGGTTTGATGATATAAGTCCTGCATTACCCATAATAAGGAATATACCCTAATTCCAATGGTTTAGGGTCCTTAAGGTAATGCAGGATTTATATCATCAACAGTATGAATACCTCATAACTTGTACAACTGCCCATGTGCCTCCAAGCAAACCCCCAGAGACTTCAACACGAAATACAATTAAGCAACCCCTGAAGGAACCCAGAAACCCTAAACCCTTGAACCCCGCAACCTTAAACCCTCAGGAACCCTAAACCCTAAACCCTAAGCCCCTGACCGCCTAAAGCACTCAAGCCGGCCGGGGCGCCGTGGAAGAGAAGATGCCCAGGGAGGCCAAACTCCTCTCAGCTGCAAGGCCAGGGGAGCAAAGGGGTGGGGGGTTTTAGGGTTGAGGGCTTGGGGTTTAGGGTTTAAGGTACTGACTTCATTAATTACCAAATCCTGAAATCCCTTCGACTGTAATCCTGAACGCTATCCTCAAGCCCCAAAGCCATGAACTCTGAAATCTAAACCCTAGACCCTGCCTGAACTACCGAAATACCACATCGACCCGGGCACAACAAGCTGACCTCGCCCGCCGGGGCCAACGATGCGGGCCAGGCCAGTCCCTACAGCTGCTGGGATTGGATTCGGGTTCGGGTCGTGTTCAGGCCATGGGGCTTCGGGCTTCGCTTTAGGGCTTTGGGTTTAGGGCTTGGGGTTGAGGGCTTGGTAAGTTTAGGGCAAGGAAAAATAGTAGGGTCGGATTCATGGTTCAGGGCTTAAAGTGCAGGAGGAAGAATACTTCGAGGATCATGGGACTTAGTAAGTAGGTTATAATTGGGGTTATAAGTCCCCTAAGTGGGGTTATCCTAATTATAACCTACTTATAACCTTACTTACTAAGTCCCATGAGCCTTCAAGTAGTGACAAGAGAATCATCTCGAACTGCACCCTGTCATTAACGGGCTGTCTGGAAATTCAAGCGCAAACTAGGGCGAAGTTTCGGTGCCACAGGGAAACAGCACATTTATGTTGAGAACTAGCACTGCGCGATGCTGAACAGCAAGAACCCATACTTGCAAGAAGGAATCATTTTATGCTTTGGGGCTTAGCAGATGAAGAAGGACTGAGGGTGAAGGGCTGGCTGAGATGTGCGCGGGACCCACCATAGTTACACTCATAGTCCTGCACAAAGAACAGACTACACCCTGTATGGTTAGAGCCCTTCTTCGGACCCTTAACAGCCTTAACATACAAAGGAACAAGTGTGAAGAGGTAAAGATGTCCTTTATCAGGAGCTCAGCCTAAGACGCACAAGGACCCAGCTGAGAAACTTGTCTATGTACGCACTACCCAAAACCGAAATTAACTCATAGGGTTCAGGTACACGGAAACCTGAAAGTCGAATCTCCCCACCTGATCCAAGAGCAATCGCAGAACTTCCGTCGGCGGTGCGGACGTGTGCACAGAGACCTTTCAGAACATCCGTTTAGGCTCTTTGATGTAGGATCTATACCAGGACCCTCCTTGTACCCTCAAATAGGGGTATATGGTCCCAAATAAGGGGCATGTAGGGTCTAATAGAGGGTAGATGGAGGGTCTAGGTAAGGTTCAAGGTTTAGGAAGCTCAGGTTTCAGGTTCAGGTTGGGGCTGTGAGTTACGAGACTTTGGGAAAAGCTCTTAGGGTTTAGGGTTTAGGGTTTAGGGTTTAGGGTAAAGGCTATGGTTCAGGAGTTTAAGGTTTTGGGTTTACGCGCTACGGTTAGGGTACCTACGTTCTTACTTACTCACGTACTTGCTTACTTACCATGATCCTCGCTTACAAGAACCCTCATAAGGTAAACGCCAGAAAGTTGGAATATGATTATCCTAACCCTTCTATGGCAAATTATAAGGTATCCTACCCTGAAACCATATTCCAACTTTTTGGAGTTCCCTTTAGACCCCTGGCCTGTGTCTTATGCACAGGGCGGCCACTGACGGACGAGGCGGCCGCTGGCATGAATCCTCCACAGCGCAGAAGCCCAGCCCGTTGAGAGTTTATCCTCGGGCTAGACATGCTTCTTAAATAACCGAAACCCTAAACCCTCAACCCTAAACCCTAAACTCTCAACCCTAAACCCTAAACCCTAAACCCAAACCCAACTTTTGCAGAACCGGTATGAGTATAGACTGCGCGATGGGGTTTTAGGGCTTCAGCCCACGATGTCTTCCACGAACCCAGGCCTTTAAGGCTGAGAGGCTGAGTATCCTAGCCCAAGGAAGTTGAGTGTTTAGGGTTAGGGGCTTAGGGGTTTAGGGGTTTAGGGTCTAGGTGAATGAGGGTTTAGGGGTTTAGGGGTTTAGGGGTTTAGGGTCTAAGTTTATTAGGCTTAGGGTTTCCTGCTCAGCTACTAAGAACATGCCGCCACGTCGCGGATCTGCAGTCGCACCGGCTGGGGCTTGGCTGCTGCCGGCCGCAAAGGCGCAACTGCCTCCAGGGTGCGTTTTGTAGCTTAGGGTTCGTTTAAAGGATCCTGTCGTCGGTTTTATAGGATTTAGGGGCTGGGTTTAGAGGTTTCAGTGGCTTTGTTTTTGGTGTTGAGGGTTAGGCGTTCAGAGTTTAAGGGCCCGAAACAACCAAACCTGATATCGAAATTCTAAAGCCCCGCGGACAGCCGCATATAGCCCCAGCACCCGACAGCACCCGAAACGCCGAACCCCAAAACGCACCTTCAAGAGGCCAAAAGCCGTAAACCCAGACATTTGAGGCCCAAACCAACCCAAAAGCAACCCGGAACCCCAAAAAAATGGCATAAAACAGCTCTCCGGAGCCCTGCAAGAGAATTCCCTCAACCCGAAACCACAAACCTTAAACCCTAAAAAACCTACGTTTTTAGGGTTCCCTATTATGATTTCCTTATAACTCCTCAAAAAGGTATGTTATTTGGGGTTAAGGTAAACCCTAAAAAAATTCCTAACCCTAGCGCTGCAAAACCTCTCAGAGGCCTTGCGCACCGTGCGCAGCGGCCAGGGCCGCCGAGGTTCGGCAGGAGGATTGGGCAAGGGATCTGGCGCCTCCTCGGCTCTTACTCTTACCTTATAATAAGGATCCTACTATTTAGGGTACTATATCAGGGTCCCCTATTTGCGGAAACTCCCATATGGGTCATAAGAGGATGACTTCTCTGCTTGAAGGCTCATGGGACTTAGTAAGTAGGGTTATAGGTAGGTCATAATTAGGATAACCCCGCTTTGGGGACTTATAACCCTTATTATAACCTATACTTACTAAGTCCCATGATCCTCTAAGTAGATTAAGTAGGGCTGGGGATTTTCGGTGAGCCCACCCCGCTAACGGCCCTATCTGTTTCCGGTTCAGGGTCTTCAGTTTTGGGTTTCTGGCTTACGTTACCAGGATTGATCGCTTTATCAGGATGCTGTGAGATTGCTGTCGCGTTCTATCGGGGCGTAACGGGATTTATGGGGCCTTTGTATGGTTGTAAATGGCAGCCCATCAAGAAGGACTCCTTCAGGAGTACTAGAAGGGTACTATCCCCTAAACCCTAAACCGGTATGTACAAGGGTTCTAGGTCTGGGACTCCTCAAGTCTCCAGAAAGGATTTGCAGAGCTTTACAGGCGTGAACTGGGCCTTGTTATCGGATTCCTTGCCGGTCGCGTATGAGGTTCCCCTCAAGTCAAGGGTATCCTTTCTGGCAAAAATTTCAAAGAAATCCCAAAAGGCCAAAACCTCGGCAGGTACCGAAGCTTGAAGGCTACATGGTCGAGGCTGTCGGGCTTAGAGTTGGGGGTGTGAGGGCTGAGGGTTTAGAAGGCTTAGGGTGTATTCGGGCCCAGGGCTGAATTTTTTTGAGGGGGCGGGGCTTTAGGGATTCGAAGGCTTCCTCAAGGGCTGCTCGAGAGGAACTTGGCAGTGTGGGGTTTCAGGATTTGAGGCTTAAGGTGGAGGACTTTGGGTCTAATATACGGGCCTTGATAAATAGACTAGGGTTTTGGGGTCCGTTATGCTACAACTATCACAAGGAGTCCCCACAACAAGATTGGTAGTTCTTTAGGCCCGTGTTTCAAGCGGTCAGGTTTCGGGTTTAACCCTAAACCCTTTAGGCTGGTCTAGCGGTCTAGCGGGGGTAGGACGACCTGGCCTCTAGCCCTGCTGGTCATCGAGAGTTGGACGATGGCTGGTGAATTTTCGGCTTAGGGCTCACTTGGAGGTTCATGGGTAGCCATATGCGGCGGGTTTATGAGCATGATAGCTAAGTATAGTAAGACCTATACTAAGAGACCTATAGCCCCACCGATAACTTATAACTTGCAAGTGGGCTTATAGACATACCCATCCATCTTGTATCCCAGAGCATTCAAAACTCCTGAATCAGTCAACCCTGAAGTTCAGGCTCTCTTAGGTTTAGGCTTTAAGGTTCAGGGTTTAGGGTTGAGGGTCTAGGGCTTAAGTTTTGGGGGTTGAAGGTTTAGGGCTTAGGGACATCCCCCTCTATCCGGCTCCCAGGGACACCCAAAAGTTTTCCCCACTCTAAAAGTTATCCCCACTAAACCATGAGCCTTAAAAGTTAGCCTCCTCTGAACCCTAAACCCTGAACCCCTAAATCCTAACCCCTAAATCCTAAACCCTAGATCCTAAACCCTAGATCCTAAACCCTCAATCCTCAACCCTAAATCCTAAAACCTAAAACCTACACCCTCCCGCTGTCCGCAAGCCTCCTCCTCGCTGGCAGAGGCAGGCCGCGCTGCCTCGAGGGCCTGTTGGGCCTCACAGTCGTGGGCTTCGGGCCTTGGAGTTTGGGGCTTGGGGTTTAGGGTGTGGGGTGTCTTCTTGCGTAGTGGCTGGTAATCCATGCTAGGATTGCGCCACCTCACACCAGGGTTTGTGGGTCGCGGCATATAACGCGTCAAGCGACGTTCCTTGCATGTGTCCTAGAACTCGGTGAAGCCGGAAGTTCTCTAAACCCCGCCCACTGTGATGATACCACAGGCAACAACCCAAACCATTTCCTGTTAGGGTTTAGGGCTTACGCCCTCAATTCCCGCTCCACAAAGAAAGGGGACAGGGCAGGCACAGAGGGCCAAGGCCAGGAGGGCCAGGGGGCCCAGGGCGGCCAGGGGAGGAAAAAAAGGCGCCAGAAAGCGCTAGCTTGCGGGCCTCGAGACCTGCCTGGGGGTCCATTTTGGGTGGTGGAAACCACCAAAACCTTTAGGGTCAGCTGTGGGTGGCCAGCGGCGAGGCGGAGCCCTTGACAGCCCTTTGGCCCAGTGTGGGTGTGGCATCTTCAGTGTTTGGGCACCCAGTTATGGGTGGGAACGACCCAAGGGGGCCGGGTGGGAAGCTTGGGGTTCAGGGTGTAGGGTTTGGGGTTCAGGGTTTGGGGCTTGGGAGTTTAGGGTTTAAGGTTTAGGTAGGGTGTGGGGCTTGGGGTTCAGGGTTTAGGGTTTAGGGTGTAGGGTTTGGGGCTTGGGGTTTAAGGTTTAGGTTTAGGGCTTCAGAAGCTGGAAGGTTTAGGACTTAGAGGTTTTTCGGGTTTAGGGTCATGGGTGTTTCGGGGTTTTGTGTAGAGTTTACCTGCAAACCCGGAACCGCGCGGATGAAGTCAGGATGCCGATAGAGCCGCAAATAAAAGAGGCAATTGAGGAGAGTCACAGACGGCATTTAGAGCTCAAGGCTTGGGCTCATGACTTTGCCCTAAACCCTAAACCCTAAACCCTAAACCCTAAACCCTTAACCCTAAACCCTAAACCCTAGGAGTTCTGGGAGCCCTCAACCAGGAGTCGAAAAGCCCGAATCCGAAGAGCCCAGCCACGATCGCCTACGGAAGATATCATAAAGTCATAATCTGCAGCCCCTGCATGTCCGCTGCATTCCTCGAGAAGGGTAAGATGCGCTGTCTGGGAGGTTTCGGGGTCGAGAGGTAGAGTTTTGTGGTGGAGCGTTCAGGGTTTTTACGCGGGCCGGGCTTCTAGGGATGGCAACCTGAAGCCATAAAGCCCGAAAAACCCTAAAACTAAACCGAAGCCAACGGGAGGACAGGAACCCGTCCCAACTGGTGATATGGCTCGCCTTGATGCTCTCGTTCGCCTCAGAGACGGCAAATCAGGGATCTGCTTCGGGATAGGCCTTAAGAAGACTAGGTTTAGGGTTTAAGGTTTAGGGTTTAGGGGTTTAGGGGTTTAGGGTTTAGGGTTTAGGGGTTTAGGGGTTTAGGGGTTTAGGGGTTTAGGGTTTAGGGTTTAAGGGTTTAGGAGTTTAGGGTTTAGGGTTTCGGTTTACATTGTAACGACGAGTCTAATTTTTCAGAACTCCGCCCTAAGCCCTGAAGAGGCAGCCGGCGCAGCTGCAGCTGCCTTGGGGGGCAGCATAAAACCTACTTTTTTTAGATCCCCATAAACTCCATATGGGTAGTTGTCACAATTCGGGTCCCTTTTGGGGTACCCTAAATACTAGTTGCCGTATTATAATAGGGACCCAAAAAGGGACCATAATTTTGCCAACCACCCATATGAGGGTTTATAGTAAGAACCTACAAAAACTAGGGCTTGCAGCCTTAACCCCTGAAACCTTCAAGCCCCATAAGAACCTTGTACAACTGCCGTTCTAATTCATTACCCTACAAGGGCCAGACTCTAAATCCTAAACCCTTCTAGCAACCCTACAACCTAATGCCCACTACTAAGGGCCATTAGGACTCTATTAAAGGGCCCTTGGGGGTCCTACGAGAGGGTTTTTGTGTCGTGGATTTGGACTCAGTATCTCAAGCCGCTCCCTCACTCGAAGCCTCTGTCCTCCGTGTCCTAAGTCTTTGGAAACCTGAAAACCTTCAAACCCGAATTTAGGGTTTAGGGTTTAGACCCAAGAGTAACCTAGGAAAAGAACGTGCGCTTTTGGTTTAAAGGGCCTAGAACCCTTACAAAGGGAACAAGGGCCTCCTCTAGGTCCTAGGAACCGCTGTGCTGACATTTTCCTGCGTCGAAACCCCAAGCCCCACAAGCGCCTGGGGGATTAAACCCTAAACTCCGAAATCCCCAAGAAAACACCGACAAAGCTGCTGCAAGTTAGGATGTCCTTAAGGGGGGGTGGTCCAAGGGGGGTAGGTAACCTAGTAATCCCCATTATTCCCCAATACTCCCTAAGCTTCCCTAAGGTTCCCCAAAGCTCCCTAGTACCCTCCCCCCTTGAACCACCCCCCCTTAAGGACCCTACAAGCAAGCCTGAAAGTTCTAGTAACCCTACAGCACCAACACAACCCCTCTAAAACGACTAACCTTCTTCCGGGCAATGTAGGGGCCTTAATGAGTAGAATGGGGTTTGGGGCAAAATGTACTTATAATCATAATAAGGAACCCCCAAAAGCCTATTCTGACTATTAAGGCCACTATACTACAGAACCCTTATAGACCCTTAAAAGGAACCCTATTCTAATTATTCCTACATTAACCTTCTTCCGGGAATGCGGCCACCTCTGAAGGAAGGGTCGTCTCCTTCGACGCAAAGCGCTGCGATGCCTGGAGCGGAGCCCAGATAAGCGGGGGTTTCGGGCTTTAGGGTTTAGGGTTGAGCCCCTAAGCCCTAAACCCTGAACCCTAAACCGGAGGGTTTAAGGCTTAGGGTGTAGCGCTTCGTTCTGCGAGGCTTCGGGGGTTTAGAGTTGAAGGTTTAAAGAGGGTTTACCCTAAGGGTCCCAACAAATTGGGGAACAAAATTGAGGGTGACCGAGACCCCAAAGAGACCCAAGGACTCTCCCTAGGACATTCCGGACCCTCCTACTGAGGGTAGGAAGATCTGCAGTCGGTGGGAGGCCGAGGCCATTAGGGTTTAGGGTTTAGGGGTTTAGGGGTTTAGGGGTTTAGGGGTTTAGGGTTTAGGGGTTTAGGGGTTTAGGGTTTAGGGTTTTAGCGCCTGGAGAACCTTCATGAAAACCCTTCCGAAAGCCTTAGACCCTAGTAAATGCCGGAAGCCCTCTACCCGACCCCCCCTGAACCCCTAAAGAAGGCCTTGAACCAGGAAAGGGTAGCAAAAATTCTACAAACCCTATGGGAGCCTTCTGAAAGGCAAAGGCGGCAAAGGGAAAAAACTCCTAGGTAAGGACTAGGGCCCCTGTTTTGGTATCCAGAATAGTACGGCACCCTTATAGGGTGTAGGGTTTACGGTTTAGGGACAGCGACCCTCAACCGCACCCCACTTTAGAGAACTGCCCTCCTCTTCTTTGCCTCGAGCTCTCGCCGCAAGCCCTGGCTCTCGGTCAGGGCGGCATCGAGCTGCTTCCTCGGGAGTTTCGTGGTGCGACAAAGCCCGAATCAATCTTCAAAATAATGCCTAACCCCAAAATCCTGAAATCTAATCTCCAATCCCGAAAACCTGAAACTCGGAACTTGGATCATAGTAAACATAATTATAAATGGCCTGAACCATTGCCAATTCTCTTGCTCCGGGTTCCTGTTCTACTTACTTATAAGCCCCAATGAACCCCATCCCTTAACCCCAAACCCCGGTCTAGGGGACTTAGAAATTAGAGTAAGGTTTTGGGCGCCCATTATGCTACAAGTAGAAAGGGAACCTCCAAAATAGTATAGGTATCAAGGCCCCTATACTATAGAAACTCTATAGATCCTTTACAGCCCCATTTAAGGAGCCCTTTTTTTGAAGGACCCCCCCCCCCCACCAAAAAAAAAAAGATGTAATTATTAAGGCCCCTATAGTACCGAAGGCTTCTCGCAACGAGTTGCTGCTGCTCGGCGACCAGCCCGTGCAGCTCCCGCAGCTCCTGAAGCTTACTGTTTCAGGTTTAAGGTTTTATTTGTTTGAACCCTCTTCCCCGGTTTCCTGGCTTAAGGGGTTTAGAGGTGTTTTGGGGTTTAGGTGTTTGGGGATTGGAATTTAGGGTTGAGGGTGGCTTTGGGTTTAGGTTTTTGGGCTGAGGGCGTAGAGTGTACAGGTTTGGCGCTTGTAGGGTCTAAAGGCTAAGTGACTTATAACTCCACTTATGCTAATTAGTTCCCCAGCAACCCCTCAATCATGAGGGTACCCTTCTTCCTAATATTCGGTTTTGAGAAGGAGACCCTCAAACCCAAAAGGGCAAAAGGGTACTACTGGGGAAACCCAGTATGACTACCCATGAACCTCCAAGTAGGCTCCACAGGATCTGCATGGAGCTCCAGCCTTTGCCGGAAATTTAAATCTTGAGGGCATTGGGGACCCGGGGTGAAGCTGCAGACTTGCGGGATCTTAGTTTCTGGGCGCCCCTTAAACGATCAGAGGACTTTGCAAGTCGGATGACATAAGGTGTAATAAGGAGTATATCTAAAGCTGATTCAAGTACTTACAACCATACTTGTCATGACCCTAAACTTAAACCCCGAACTCTACCATGAACCTTCAAGTTGGACTCAATATTGGGGGATCGGGAACAATCTCAATTTGAGGAAGCAAGGAACGACACCACAAGCAGTGAAGCAACCTCCCTGAATATGAACTTGGTCGGCCGTTTTGCCTGTTTCAATCACAGCTCTAGAAGCGAATGCCAACCATCTGCCAACTGGATAAACCCTAAGCCCTGACCCCTAAAGCCTAAACCCATTTCTAAGTTAGGGCTTGGGGTTGCCGGCTCCTCTTCTAGCTGCCGCTCCACCTGCGTTTCCGAGCAGAGAGGGATACAGTTACAAAAACGAAAACTAGGGACAGTATCACTGATTTTTGAGGCTTCTACATCGAGCCCTGGAAAGCGAATATGAACTGGTAGATAACTCCGAAAACACCTTAACCTCACCCCAACATTCTAAACTCCAAAAGCCCTGTAAGCACCTATAATGCGGATTCGAGCAAAAACTACAACCTCCGGTTCACGGTTCAGGGCGCTTGGAATCTAGGGCTTTGTTTTGGGGCTAGGGTTTAGGGTTTAGGGGCTTTTTAGTCTAGGATTCAGGAGTTTGGGGGCTTAGGGCCAGGGTTTAGGAAACCCAACATCATCGCTCCACCCCGAACCCCACTGTTCCAGGTGAGGGTTCCGGCGCCCCGGTCTGCGGTGATGCAGGGGCCTCAAGAATTAGAATAGGGTTTGGGAGCATATCAGACTATAAATACAATGAGGAACTCCCAAAAAAGCATATTCGAATTATTGAGGCCCCTATATTATATACCCTATAGAAACTTATAGAACCCGTTAACAGGCCCTTTTTAAGAACCGTGTCCTAACTATGAAGGCCCCTTACAGCACATGGGTCTCAGATGGGGACAGCGCAGGAGATGCTATCATCAGACTCGGAATCGGCGGAGCTTGGTAGATTTTGGGACTGTGGGACTAGATTTCATAGTATATGCATGCTTCCAGGATCTGTATGTGTATGTTTCATGTATGTACATGTGTATATATATATATATATATATATATATATATATGTGTGTGTGTGTGTGTGTCTGTAAGTAATATATATATATATATACACATACATACACACACATACATATATACATACTTCAAGGCCTACAATAGTCGCACGAAGGCGTTGGGGGCCAGGGCTTAGGGTGTCCGGGTTTGGGAATAAGACCTTGGTGCCAATCTCTGGGGTAGTAGGGGTCTAGGGTTTAGGGTTACAGTCCTTACTGATCTGTCCTAGCTAGTGCCAGTCAAGGTCCCCTGAATAGTTGGAGGTTCATGGGTAGTTATAGCTGGGATTATAAGCAGGGTACCTGTACTTATAACCCATATTAGGGGACTTATAACCCCACTTATAACTACCCATGAACCTCGAAGTAAGACTTGCCTTGGCTGTTCGCAGCTTGCGCTCATCCTCCTTCAGCAGCTCCTCTACATCCTCTGCTCCACGGTAGATGGAAGATCCGGTGCTACACTTAAACCTTGAACCGCATCGTGTGGCTATCTGTATCGTATGAAGCTAGAGATAGAATCCGATGTAGAGGTAGAGGAAGGGATAGGGAAAGGGATCGGGACAGAGATAGGGATGGGGATGCGGAGGGATAGGGACACTCATAGGGATAGCACTAGAGCTGGAGCTAGAGACTGGAGATAGATATGGAATTTGATATTGTTTCTTCTAATTTTGCAACTGAGATGTTCACCGCCTGTCTCGCCTGACAGAGGTCCTTCCGCCGATAGCCCCCAGCCCCCAGACAACTATAGTAGAATATACCCCTAAACCCTAAACCCTAAATCCCTAGCCTCTGGTTTAACTATCATCAGGTTTTGGCAAGGAGTCCAGCGTTTCTGGTGCACGGCTTGCAAGTCGCAGGGTCTGCGGTTCAAAAGCAGGGAATATCAGGTGCACACTTTCGGACAGCATTGCAGAGGCCTTAATTGAAGAACGGAGGAATCGCCAAGGAAGCGTACTTGAAGGCTCATGGGACTTAGCAAGTAAGGTTATAAGTAGGTTATTATCAGGCTAACCCCACTTAGGGGACTTATAACCCCAATTATAACCTACTTACAAAGTCCCATGATCCTCTAAGTAACCTAAGCTACCCCTTACAGAACCCTTATATTATAGATCCCTAAACCCTAAAGGGCTTTAAGGAGCCCTTTAAGGAACCTTACTTACTAAGTCCCATGACCCTCTAAGTAGACCCTAAACCCTAAACCCTATAGATCCCTCTAAGGAACCCTATAGATCCCTTTAAGGAGCCCTTTAGGAACCCTAAGGAACCCTCCTTACTAAGTCCCACGACCCTCTAAGAAGGGCGAGGGGCGAGGCCCTCCCTTTCCAGGGCCCCGAAGAGCCGCGAGTGCAAGGCTCGAAGCTCGGAGTTCTCACCTTTGGCTCACTAAACTAGAAAGTTCAGGCTTTAGGGTTTAGGGTTG